ACTTCATTTTATGATGTGAAATATTTATTGCTACTTGATAAACAAAGATTAACTTTCTAAAATAAATACTCCCAATAAGAATATGTGCTTTCAATCAAAGATGCATTTAATAACAAATAGTATTTGTTAGGTTAATTAAGAGGGAGGAAAATAGTGTTCATAAATAATAACTACATCTAATAAATTAAATATTAAATATGTTTATTTCAATGGTACAATCCTAGTTTAAGACAGTCGAGTTTGACACATATATATGTTTCCAATATATTAGTCTAGATTTTGACCCGCACTTTGATAGTGCATAATTGTTTTCTGTTATTAATACTATTAACCCGTTTGTTAGTTCATAATAGAAATGAAAAATCTATTTGTTCAAGCCGTTTGTAACTTATAAATATTTTTTGACCTGTAGAAAATGAACACATTAAAAAAAGTTTAACTTATTCCAGTACATATGACAAATGAATTTTTGCCCATAAACTATATAACAAATGAAAATTTTGACCCTTATATATATTAAACTTAAGTTATATTCATAGTAGAGAACATAATATGACTCATATATATAGTAAAGGAAGTTTAATATATAAAAGTAAAAGTATATGCCAAAACATATAGGAAACAATGAGAATTTAGTTTTTTTTTAATATATAAATAAAGTAATATTGATTAAATACAACTATAGTTAGATATGATAGGAAAAACTATTAATTTGAAATGTATAAACCAAACAATATTTTTTTCTATTTATTTTATTTTCAAATTAAAAAATAATACTCATTTAGATAAATATGAAAACAATTAAGTTTTGTTATCGTTTTGAAATCTCCGCATAATCCAAGTTATATTCATTTTATTAGATTATATCCTTAATATCACCATTTTTATTCTTATATGATTAACATTTGTTTCATATTTGTTTGGATGCAAATCTCGTCGTAATGAAGAAGATAATTGANTGATGCTATTACGAAGTATTCTTAATAAGTTATCTAGTTGAAGAGATTATCTCACATATTAATTTATTTGTTACATTCTAATAAATGTATACTCTTAAATTTGTTAGTTCTTTATAATACTTTTTTACAAAATATTTTTAAAAGGTTTATAACAATTTAAGTTCTAGGTATATTATTTTACATATTTATTGTATAAATATAATGAAAATTCGATTTTTTTATTTTTTTATTTTTTATTTGATGAATTACTATAAAAACTATATTTCAATTTAAATTTTATGATGCGCTATATATATCTTTTTATTTTACATGTTTGTTTGTTATAAATCGAAAGTCCTACTCCATTACATTACATTTACTTGAAAGATAAGTTATTAGCATAAATGGTGTACATATATAATCTCTGGTTCATGATTTCATAATCGGTTATATAACAGCAAATTACTATTTAACATTAAGTACTTTCGTATTTGCTTAAAAATGCTTTTTTATATCATTAGGAATAGTTACTTTTTACCATATAGTCAAAAAGCAAATTATAAATAAAAATTACAAATATATTAAGGTAATTAATAAACATGATATTTCTATAATTATCACCATAATTGGCGACATTTAGGAATATTGATTTTGTAGTTTAAATCAATGACATAATATTGTTATTAAAATTAAAATGGAGAGATAATCAGGGCAATATATTTTTTGTTGGAAAAAGATCTGGTGGAAAAAGATTTGGTGGAAAAATAATTAATAAAAACTATAGGTTTAAATAATACAGTGACAAAGATCTGTAAATATTTTCAAAAATCAAGGGAACCTCAAAAAAAGGCCTTGTGTTTTAATAGTATAGATTCTATCATGACCAGTTTAGAACTGACTCTTTTAATTATTATTGATCTTATTACATTATTTTCATTTACATCTACTAATGAAAGAAAATGAATATTCTATCATGACCAGTTTAGAAACTAACTCCTTTTTTTTTGAAGGAAAACTATTTGATTATGTGCAAAAAAAAAAAAAAACTATTTGATTAAAGGAAGAAACTACTCTGTTGGAGCAACAGAGGAGTGTAGACAGTACAAGGCTGATTTCATCTATATCTCAAATCTTCATCTTACATCACCACCACAGAAACCATGTAAATTTCACTTGACTGACACACTCACACATACATATAGAGTCATATATACATACAGACACACAAGTATTCTGTAGAGAGATATTTACTGCTAATGTGTATGGATGATGATTGCATAGCTTGTTCACACAATCTATGATACACACAGCATCCTTTCAACTAGTTGCTACGATCCCATCTACATGCTAAACTATTTATGAAGTAGCTCAAACACGACTTACAAAATATATATAGAATATAGCAAACCACTGATCCAAAAAATAAAAGATAAATAGAGATTTTTCAACTTTCAACATACACAAATGTATATCTAATAAAGAAAAGTGACTGTATATTAAATCAGAAACAGATATTTGATCACTTCATGTGTAGCCTTTGATCATTTCATGTGTGACCACCGAATCAAATTAAATTCAATGATTCAGATAACCATGCACTAATTCCAACAAATAATTAGTGTTTGCATATAAATAGATAAATTGTGTATGTTCTCCCAAATACCTTGTTAAATATTTTATTACCATTATCTTTTTATTATTGTAGATTTTCGTTACATGTGGACATAAAAGAACAGGAAAATAACCATCATGAGAAATTCTGAACTATTTTTTTTTTGAAAAGTTCTGAAACTATCTTTATCCTCTAATTTCTTCCATCTCCTCAGTCTTCATCCTGCATTTTCGATCACAATAGAAACAATGTCAACTTCACTATGACATACACACACATATACAAGCACATGCATGCAAATATACAGAGATAGAGAGAGAGATCTTTACGAGTATGGTTTAGTTGAGTGAAAGGTACTTGTAGGTTTATGTTCGCAGTCAGCCATACATTGTCTGAAGCACTCGGATTTGAACTCCGGATCACGGCAGGTAATTTCACATTTAAATGTACACAAATGGTTTATTGCTTCTCCTCCAATGGCAGCCATCACCACCAAAAGGAACACCATCATCGCCACACTCAGTTTTTTCTCCATTTGTCTTCTTAGTTTGAGTTTTTTTTGTGTTTATGTATAAAGAAAAGGGAAGCTCTCTATCTATAAAGACGAAATGACCACCTCTTTGTCTTGTTTCTGTTGAACGACATGTTAGCAGTGTTAGCTTTTTATATGCCAAGCTATCATTAATACGTGAAGTGTTGAAATTGACTTCGGACTCTAGAAAATCTGTGTCCTAAATTACTTCTCACAAAAAGGCAGTTTTTGTCCTAGAATATTATGAAATGGGTTACGGGCATATTCTTTTCTTTTTGTGGACGATCAGGTATATTCTCTATTTTATTCTATTCAATCTTGACCAAATTATGGTCATTGACCCAATAATTCATTCAGTTTTTGTTTTGTGAATTTTTTTACTTCTCTAAAATGTTTATTACAGTTTATAAGAATATTCCTAGTATTTTATTTATATTTAAGTTTTGGTAAAATGTAAACTGCTTTACATATAAATTTTACTTATTTTATAGTTTTAGTAATAATCATCCGTTTTTATATATGTTACATTTAACATGAACATAAATCTTATTGCAAGATGTAAATAACAAAACATATTAAAATAAAAAGTTTTTTTTTGTTAACTTAAGAAAAAAGATTGTTTTGTTAAATAACCAGCTCTTTTGATATAATTTTATAACTGAAAACTCATAATAGATATAATTCAATCAAATAGTGGCAATTTCATGAGGTTTGGTGTATATCCACATCAGTTATGAGTTCGATTTTCGTTGGGAACTAAATTATCATTACTTTTGGTCAGTCTGGACTTGGGCGTATGTTCAAGTTATTAATATGGTGGGTTGTAACAGATGATTAGCCCATTCTCTGGTATTAGTCGGAAGATATTCAAAATTCGGATTGGATAATGTGGTATGTTTTTTTGTGGTAATACTGGCTAATCCATTTTATACCACTAAGTGTGTATCTTTTAGAATCAACAGATCGACCATTAGAATTATCCAAAAAAAAGTATATATAATTTTGTTAGGTAAGTTAAAAACATCAAAAATGAAACTAAAAATAGGGAAATGAATAGGATTACTCTATATCATGCACTTTTTTCAAAACATTCATCACTCAAATACCTTGTTGAAACCATTTTTAAAAGTATTTGACTACTTGTTCATCCCATTTTCCACAAGCATGAATATAATTTAAGTTTTACTATTCTTATTATTCATCTCACTATAGATTTATGTTACGAACATGAAACAAAACATTCCATCATGACAACTTCAGAAACTATCTCTAGCCTCTCATTTCCTCCATATAGTCTTCATCCTGCAATACTGTTCACCACAGATCAGGTTCACTATAAACACAGAAATATATATACATGCATATAAAGAGAGTGAGAGATTTAATGCAAGGGTGAAGTTGAGTGAAAGGTCCTTGTAGGTGGCTCGTGCCTGCATCACTCGTCCATACTTTGTTTAAACTAAGCTGAACCAGTTTGTTGGTTCACCTGAACCAATTTTTTGTTGGTGCACAAAAAAAAGAAAGAAGCTGAACCAATTTGTTGTAGTTTGCAGTGGAGTTCACATTTGAATGCACGTGAAGCACTTGTTTTTCCTCATGGCTAATTATTACTTGAGTGAATAATATAAACCGGACATGACGATGCTATAGGCCGAACTCTAAACCGGACATAAATCGCTCTAAACCGGATCTAAATCACTAAATCGGATACAAGTACAGACAAATACATGTATCCATGTGTATAAAGATGCGAAGTGTGTACTATAAAAATGTAGAAGCCAAACCATATGGCTCTCCTCTGCTGCTGTGCTATAATCTAGCACCCAAATCACTGTAAACCGGATCCAAATCACTCTAAACCGAATACAAATCACTGTAAACCGGATACAAGTACAAAGTACAGACAAAGACCCGTATCCATGTGTATAAAGAAACAAAGTGTGTGTACTATAAAAGGCAGAAGCCAAACCATATGTCTCTCCTCTACTGCTGTATCCATAATCTAGCACCTAAATCACTCTAAACCGGATACAAATTCAGACAAAGACACGTATCCGTGTGTATAAAGAAGCAAAGCAGTGTGTGTACTATAAAAAGCAGAAGCCAAACCATATGTCTCTCATCTGCTGCTGTATCCATAATTTAGCACCTAAATCACTCTAAACCGGATACAAATTCAGACAAAGACACGTATCCGTGTGTATAAAGAAGCAAAGCAGTGTGTGTACTATAAAAAGGCAGAAGCCAAACCATATGCCTCTCCTCTACTGCTGTATCCATAATCTAGCACCTAAATCACTCTAAACCGGACACAATTCATTCTAAACCGGACACAAATCATTCTAAACCGGATACAAATTCAGACAAAGACACGTATCCGTGTGTATAAAGAAGCAAAAGCAGTGTGTGTCTATAAAAAGGCAGAAACCAAACCATATGGCTCTCCTCTGCTGCTGTATCTATAAACTGGATGTTTCCAGATTCTTAATTTGACAATTCACCACCCATACTAATACTTCCTTTTAACCAATCTCTCGTCAACTAAACTTCTCAGAATCAACACTAAAGAGAGTAAAGGTTCCATTTTTTTTGCTGTTTTCGTCAATGTCGATTCGTTTGAGCTCAACCCTCTTTGCTGCTTCAATCAATTTCAAAAACTCGAAGAGTTTTTACACTGATCGATCTCGGAACTGCAGATTCTCAGTTAGAAGTTGCGTGTCTGATTCTCAAAATGCCCACAAGGTTAGTGAGAGAAAGAGAGAATCATGGAAACTGTATGAATGTTTGTGAAGACGTTACCTTCTTCTGTTACGCAACACCTTTATGCTTTTTGTGGAGTTGTCTGATTATATCCAAAGAAATCCTCTGTTTTCTTGCCTGTGTTTGTGGAATTAGAAGCTATACTCTGTTTTCATGTCTCTGTTTTTGGAATTAGAAGCTATCCTCTGTTTTCATGTCTCTGTTTTTGGAATTAGAAGCTCTGTCTGATTATATCCAAAGAAATCCTCTGTTTTCTTGCCTCTGTTTTTGGAATTAGAAGCTATCCTCTGTTTTCTTGTCTCTGTTCTTGGAATTAAAAGCTGTGTCTGAGGAAGAAAAAAAAAAGGAAAAGACTTTTGCTTGTTATGTCTGAGATTTGGGTTTTTAAGTTACAATATTTCATTAAAGATTAAACTTTAGAAAAATTAGCTACTACTTTTCTTTGGTCTCATGCTTGCTCACTGTTAGCTTCATTACAAGACTATTTGAGAATGTTACATGAACTTATTATGAGAAGAGATTGTTATGTAATGAAAAAAATTGCAACTTTGTGGTGCAGTTAGTTTTGGAAGTGAAAGAACGTCTTGCAAAAGATTGTACTAGTCTCCCTATTGGCAAAAACGGAAGAGATGATGAGGAGATGATCCTTTGGTTTTTGAAAGATAGAAGATTCTCTGTTGATGAAGCCATTGGAAAGCTTACTAAAGCTATTGTATCCTCTTCCTTGTCTTATTTTTTCTTTAGTCACTCATTAATCTTCAAAAGTTGCTAACAAGATGACTATGATGTTTCTCATGGTTGATAGAACTCACTTTTGTGCAGAACCTATAGAACCAAATCATAGTTTGCTTGTGTTTTGTTGGTTGAATCCTTAATTCAAGCTTTTTAGAAATGGCGTCATGAGTTCAAAGTAAATGAACTATCTGAAGATTCTGTCAAAACCGCTGCTGAGACAGGAAAAGCCTATGTCCATGGTTTTCTAGATATGAAAGGCCGACCAGTAGTTATTGTAGCTCCTGCAAAACACATCCCAGGGGCAAGTTAGACACTATTATATATCTCAAGTTTCCACAATGATGTTTGACAAAAGAGCTGAAGATTTTTTTTTATTTTTTCATGTTTTTTTCTGCAGCTGCTTGATCCAATAGAAGATGAAAAGCTATGTGTGTTCTTACTTGAAAAGGCTTTAAGTAAACTACCAGCAGGACAACACAAGATACTTGGGATATTTGATCTCCGTGGATTCAGTTCTCAGAACGCAGATCTTAAGTTCTTGACGTTTCTGGTTAGTTATATATATCGTCTTACAGGTTCAATGGTTTGGTATCTAGTGTTTGATCTTATTGTTGTCTTCTGCATTGTCTTTGTTTTGCAGTTTGATGTGTTTTACTATTACTATCCAAGCCGTTTGGATGAAGTTCTCTTTGTAGATGCTCCATTCATTTTCCAGCCTATTTGGCAAATCACCAAACCGGTGGTGAAGTCATATGCCTCTCTGGTAAGCTCCACACCAGATGACACTAAACCCTTAAAGTTAAGGCATGATATCATTCAGAGCTCTAACTAGTTATTGTTTGAATGTGAAGGTCAAGTTTTGTTCGGTAGAGACTGTGAGAAAGGAGTACTTCACTGAGGAAACAATACCATCAAACTTCACAAGCTAAAGACGTTATAGGAGATTTTTAAAACACTATAGCGCCTTCTGTTGATGTATCTCTAAACATGTATATGTAAGTGTATGAATGTTTAAACTATGGTTTTAAAGGGAACCTTAATAGCAAAATAACTCAATAGTAAAACCTCAACAAAGGTATCAGTATACATGGGAGACAACAGCAAAGACATGAAAAGCCTTTTCTAGGATTAAGAATCAAAAAAGTTTAAACCAAAAGACAACATGAAAAGTACAGAACACAGAGCATCCCTGTGGTTTTTTTTCTTCATATTGAAGAGCTTCAAATCAGGTTAGCCCTCTTCAGGAATCTGATAGTTCTGCAGTAATAAGGCCATATAGATTCAACAAAATCCAAGTACTTCTCAACGATCCATTCTTGCAACTGTTTCAGTTTGGTGCGTGTGAGCTCTTTGTAGTCAGCGTTCTTGATAGCCACCATTGGTCGAGTCACTACACCTCTCACGTCGTCTCTGAGCTTGCCTTGGGTGATGTAATGGTATGCTATGATGTAATAAGATGGTAGGTTTCTTATCACTTTGGTGCTTTGATTGAAGCAGAAGGCGTAAAGGGTGCATAGTCCTTGGAACATTTTGACATAGAGGGCAACGATCAAGGGGCCAACTATCCACAGAGGAGATAGCTCCTTTGTAACTTCAGCTCCATAGATTGCGTTAACAGCTAGGAAAGCTGGAACACTGCACAAATGGTCAAGATAAAAGTATAATCAATACACATAAGTTGTGTGCATTTAAGAAGAGATTCTCATACTTACAATAGCAGCAACGGAATCTTGATAGATGCGTCTAGACTCCAAAACAAGGTCCACAATGTACTTTTACTACTCTGAAGGCTTTCTGTTTTCTTGATCTCTGTTTCAGTTTCTGCCTTTGTAGTCTGTGGAGCCTCTTCTCCTCCCAAAGACTCGTCAGTCACTTGAATAGGTGACTGTGTGCGTAACAGTGTTAACCATTTCTTGAATAGCTTCTGAATAGCAGGTTGTCCTGTGACTGAATCATCTGTTTCCGAGGTATATGAAACCGATGTGTTCTGTGCCTTTGGAGAGCTGTTCACATTGTTTTCGTCATCATCTGAACGGTAAGATAGTTTGACCGAGTTATTAGTAACTTTCTTCCCACTCTCTCTTCCTCCTGATTCGCTATTTTGATTGCTGCCTTTGAAGGATGTAACCTTGAAAGATTTTGCTTTCAACCCGTCACTGCAAGGAGACCCTAAACTGCAAAAACAGTTCCACAGAATACATGATTCTTCCAACAATATACTGCAAAGAGAAATACATGAACTATTTATCTATATAGTTTCCTACTGATCAAAAGCCTATTGAAGAGTTCATCAGGTCCCATGCCATAAACTATGTCTCATTATCTAACAATTAGGTCTCAGCCTATAAAGAGCCACACTTCAGTCCACGATATAACTAAATATCTACTTTCCTAGAGACTCTAGGCTAGAGTAGCGAGGGATTAGTGAGCCTCATACTAAGTTGTACCCGGTAGTGTAAATGCTCAAATGAAAGAAACAAAGCAGGCACTTGTGAAGAGGGATTCTCACGTAAAACAACATTTTTGCTTCAATCGTAAATGCTTTTCTTTGCTCCCAACAAAACGTACTGACGTAACAGGTCTTTTGATAAGCAAGCCTCTGTTCCACGTTGGTGAACTCCAAGTAAACAAGACATCTGAACCCTATACACATGAGATAACATGAAACATGGCTTTACTAAGTGTGATACAATCATTTGTCTCTAGAGGTTGACCAATAACGCAGATGCAACGATGAAAAAGACACTGAAGCTATGATACCTGCAGTTTATGAGTTACCAACACCATTGTCTCCAGATTGAGCAGTGAATCATTTACAAAAAGGTCACACAATCTGTAAAAATCATCATTACACACAAACCACTTTTAGTTACTCACACAAGACATCATTTTCATTACATCCTCTCCTAGCAAACAATTCTCTCCAAACTCAGATGAAATTACACAAAAAAAAACTATCAATTTGAATTGACCACAAACCGAATATAAAAATCAAGGAATATGACCTCGACATGGGTTTCAAATTAGAATTCTGATTTGAGAGGAAAAGAACCGACCTGAATCATGAGCTTGTTTGTCTTTCTGGGTTTGTTCGTACGTCTGTGAGGATAAGCAGAAACAGAGGAAGAGGTAGGGAGAGAGAACCCTATTGAAAGTTTGAAGCTTTGAATCGAAAGATTGAAACTTTTTTTACAGAGAAAGAAGAGGAGAAAGGGGGAAGCGGATATAGATAGAGAAGAGATAGCGAGAGAAGATTGCAGGAAGCAAGCGGTGATTAATGAGAAGTTTTTTTTTTTTAATACCCACAGCGTTTAAGCGACGTCGTTTATGCCGTCCTTTTGATTTTAAAGACCAAAAGGCATGATACAAAGGGATGGAGATGATAAAAATACCCAATTATTATAATAAGCCCATTAACACCCGATTATTATAAGAAGCCCATTAACACCCAGTTATTATTATAAGCCCGTTCAAATCCAAACCAAAAGGAATTGACAACTATATGTTGCCTCATACGTGGCCAACTAAAGAAAATGTTGCTGTAGTTATGAAATATTCTTTACCCTAATGGATCGATGAGTGTTTTTTAACGTGCAATATCGATGGATTAGCTACATTCTCATTTTTCTACTGCATGAACATTTGGAAAGAAAGAGAGTTGATTCGCATAGCTCTCATGCATGAACATTTGGAATCAATACTACAAAATAGGTTAGGATTTGAGTTGTAGTTTCACTATATATGTAACTGGTTACATATAACACATAGATACTTGGCCATACTCAATTTATTAACTCTATACAGATTGAACATAACGTATTACTTTTTCATCATAAGTGCTAACAATTTTCACAAATTTACTTATGAAAATACCTTACAAAAGTTTTAGATTTTCTTGTAAGAAACCAAAACAAAATTGAGCTCTTCATTTGTGGAATCTCTTAACCAGAAACCGCAACAATGAAAGACAATAACATTAGCTAACCAAGTTAAACCGAGAACATAGTGGAGAGTCTCGAGGCGGCCTTATTCAGACAAGTTGCTGAATTGTTTAATTATCCGGGCAGCTGCCCAAAACATTCAAGTTTCATTGTCCAAATGATTTATTTCTTTGTTTAGAAAATACACTTCCATTTTTATATTATTTATCATGTAGATTTATTTCCAATTTCTATTTATACTAGATACTTTGTCCGCGCTACGCGCGGATAATGTACACTAATTTTTTTTCATTTCAATTTTTTTTGATATTGTACATTATATTATATTTAATAATAAAATTGATAGTAATACATTGGTTTGATTAATAAAATAACCTTATGATTTAAAATATGATAATGATAATTTGAAATTTTGCATTATGATTTTTAGATATAATTATATTATTTTTTAATTATTGTTTGCATATTTGCATTAATGTCCATGAAAAATGATTAATATATGTTTTAATAATATTTTAAATAAGTGATATGTTATCTAAATGTTTGTTTTTTTTCATAACTTTTATTATTATTTTTTATGTTTTGTCTAAACTACTACATTTTGAATAGAAATGTCTATATTTACATTAGCCACATTTACCCTCATTTTTAAGAATTAAATAGATACTTATAATCATAAAATTAACTAATGTAAATTTTAGAGTTTAGATTCGAGGGATACTATTTCGAAAGATGAGGTATAGGATTTTAATAAATATATAAACAAATAATTATTTTTTATAAAACAAATTTTAAGATTTTTTAAAAAAAATTGAATTCGAAAATGAAACTTTGAAAAAAAAATATGAAAAATGAAAATTTGAAATAAATAAAATTGAAAACAAAAATTTGAACAAAAAAAATTTAAAAGAAAATTATAAAAAGTTCTAATTTGAAATTGTATAATTTAATAACTATATAATAAAATAATTTTATTATTTATTTAAATAATTATTTATGTTTATACATCGATAAAGTAAGGATATATGAGTTTTTTTACTCTTTAATGAAGAAGGTATTTGTAAGAGTATCATTTAATGAAGGTAAATATGAACTGTAGTACTATAAAAAAAAAGTAAAAGTGAATATATTTCTTATTTATATGTTTTAGAAGACTTGTATATATATTTTTGTACCTTTACTTCTTAGTTTAACCATATTTTATTTTACTATTTTTTATTGTTTCATTGTTTTCTTTGTTAAACCAAATATATACAATACATTAATATATTATTGTTTTTGAACATACAATATATTACTGTTTTGAACTTACAATATATTATTGTTTAGTTCGCTTTTTCACAGCTTTAAAATTATTGATGAAGCACAGTTGCTTGATGTTTCATTGCTTCTTTCGTTTTTATGAACTACCTAAATCTCTAGCTCATCATATAAATGTGCATTTTCAGATTCTATGACTAAAACGTGGAAACTGTATAAGACAAATGCCATTAGAAACAAAGAGTGCGCATGCAAGTATATCCCCCAAATATTTTGTAGATTACATGCATTGAAGATTTTCAAATTTTCTTGTGATTGAAGACAATTGTTTACCATGTTGCATACTGAAAGCAAAATGAGTAGTTTTCGATATGAGGTAATGTTTTAGTGCTAAAGGATCTTCTTGGAGCTCAAATACTAAGGAAAAAAAGGAAAAGAAGGAGAAAAGAGTAACAGGACACATCCCCTGTTTAGGAGCTCCTAAAATACATTCTCTATTCTCTCTATCATTTGAGCATCCTCACCTTTCACCTGAAATTCAAAATTTACGCAGGCGTGATACGGGTTATTGTTCGACTAACACTTATTACATATTGCCATGTAGTCCTCTTGTTTCTATGATTTATATAATTTTTAAAATAGTTTAAATGAATGCTAACACATATGAAAATATTTCTAATAAAGTAACGTTTGAGATGGGCTAAAATATCAATGCAAGAAGAGAACAGCTATTGGCTGGGGTGGTGAAACTTATTATCAGGGTAATTATATTGTATACATTTGGGCAAATCTCGCTGGTTTCAGATTATCTCACTGTAATTATGTTAACACTGAATTTCTCTAAGATTAATGTGTAAAATTTTAAAAACTCACCGGAAACCAAACCCATAGGCATGGATGCATGATCCCACATGGGTTCATTAGGCAGAAGACTACGGAAACCTTGAGGGAAATATAACTTAAACAATATAGTTTGGTCTGTCAACTATTCATGTATTTAGTTAAAAGCTAACAAACATCAAATTAAGAAATGGTTGTCATGAAAGAGCTACCTCATTGTACAGGCTAAGAAACTTATTCTTAACATCTTTCCATTGTTGTCATTTGTGGGCCTCTCAGAGTTTTAATAGATGCCCAGAGATGAACTTCTCTAGCTTTGTTTTCTGAACTCCCCTCCCTATATTCATAAGTTTTGTTTCCTGAACTCTCATATTGTTGGCCTCATCAATTAAGTCCAGAAGCTTAAACTTCCTCTGACTTCTCTCACATACCTTCAAAAAAAAAAGAGAAGATTTTTTTTTGGTCAAGTGACCCAATTAGATATCACCAACCAATATAGAGGAACATGCAAATATATTTGTGAAATCCCTACGAACTACTCGCAGACGAATCCAGGATAAACCTTGTGTACCAATAGTGATGTATGATGAGACTCTCCTCTTTTATTCATAAGTTAAAATCATAATAATCATGCCCATTTTAATCAAAAAAATAAATAATCACACCCATATAGCTATAAAACAAAAGCTTTCTAAGTAACCTTCTGCTGTCAAAAGCTAGTTTTCATTTTTCATGATTGTTTCACAGGCCCCACTATGATGGTAAATTGGCTAGATACACCTCGTGCTCTCCTACGCTTGGTGACATAGTATGGACAATTATAGTAACAATTTGGCTAGATATGCTTCGTGTCTACGCTTAGTGACATGTTGCAACATCATTTGGTCATTAATCATGGTCTCCTGCAACAATATCAACAATTGCCTCATAGTAATTCTCTTATATGTACTTGAAATAAATTTTGTTAAAAAAAAGTACTTACAATAATTATTTGATGAGGTTATATGTATGGCCAAAGTCAATGACCAGTCTCGGTCAGCAGCAGCAGCATCTATACCAATATGCTCCTATGCAGGTTGTTCCACATGCTTCTATATGGTTCATCTTTCTATCACCACCAACATTCAATGAAACCCATCTATCTCTTTATTACATGTTCTGCTTATCAATAAACCCACGCAAGCTCCACGACCTCTAGATATATCTCTCTTAAGAACAAATTTTGCGCCTCATTCTTGATTTTCTTGGCTAATCACCATGGTACAATTCCCTGTCATTTACCTTGTACACCATATCAACTTCAGCACATTAGATGAGAGATGATATTATATTTTTTTCCAACAAAGTCAAACTTTCCATTCCTTATATAGGCAACACTATCTTCAATGTACAACAAATACGCATGTGATGTCCTTAATGATCACATTTACCCCGAGACAATAATTCAACTGTAAAGCTAGAAGGAACCGAAATGAATTTAAAGCTCAAGATGTACTGTATTGGAAACTCACCAGTCCCCACTTGTGAGTACCCATGGCAGAGGAAAGTGGCATGTGCGTATTTACTCTAAGCCGTGAATGATATATAAAAGTTGTCTTCCTCGTAGATTCCACATCTTTTGTATTTGGCTCTGTTAAGTTGGATTAGTGGCTGAAAATATCAAAAACAAAAAGAGATATCTCAAAGACAGTAATGATAATGATCATAACATTTAATAATAAGTCAAACTATTATATTCTAGCCGCCTTTTACAAAGTATCAATGTAGTAAGAATACCTCAATCCTACGTATATTTGACAATATCTAAAGACCAAGGAAAGAGGCAACTATTTTACACTGGTTTCAAGATTAAACAGAACATTAAATATGTCGGGAAATCTTGTTAACTTCTTCTTGCCTTGTCTTCTCTCCAGAGAAACTTGGTCTATAAAACGTCCATGAGTTATGACTAACCTATAAAACTGAATCAAGAATAGTTCTTGTGTAACCAAAACATGATCATTACCTTCTTTCTTGCCCTCCATGAAGCATTTCAAGTTTTAATTCTCCTGATTTTTTCTGCATCTGATTCCTCCGATACGCTACAATATGGACATCATCTTTGATCACACTCAGCGACTCCATGGGATTCTCAAAGTAGCTAAAGATCTTGTGCTCATATACGAAAGTAACTAACATGAGAATCGTGTTGAATGTAACCACTGAACTGTGGAGCAACTAAGTTTTGTCTTGAAAACTCGCGGTGCAGCTGCATTACTTCCTGAGTGGCATAACTCCTTCAAGAGCTCACCAAACGCCTTAGCAAGCTCATCTTTAGAGTGAACTCGCAAGAAGTATTCAAGTATGGGAGGTGTGTGTGCCAAACACTGAAGAGCGCTGTTCATGTAGCAGGTGTTTCCCAAATTAACCAGTCCTGCTAATCCTGAAGGTTTTTCTTCCAGAGGTTGCTCATCATTTACTTCTGAGCTCCCATCAACTTCAAGAAGAATCTGCAGCAAGTCATTTAAGTGAAATAGAATATTGTGATTCGTCAGGAATCAAATCAATTTTGGCATGACTGACTCTTGTCTGTAAGAAACTTACATCTTGGGTCATGTGAAGACCTAACTCTTCAATGCTCATGTTAGATACCTCCAAGACTTGGCCTTTCCTCATGTTGAAGTAATCCCAGATGTGAGCCTACTTATACATATTATAATCATCAAATGTGAAGCAAAAACAAAACACAATCTCCATAGTAATGTGACAAGACTTTCAAATACACACACCTTTTCTTGAGATACACCTTTCTTAGCACAAACCTTGTCATAAAGCTCCCTTATAGTGGCCTAATAACACATTATTGGCCTAATACCTGCCAAGATTCATGGCCTTTGAGAGAGTTAGACACATTCATTATCCGATCAATGTATAAGGAGGAGATGTACGCAAGCGAGTTCTGTTGCTGTCAAGTATGAGGAGTAGTTGTTGCTTCTGCAGATTTTTTCCATCGTTTAGCTAATCTGCGTATTTGGACGTTTTTTAATATTTGTCTCAGCTATAAGTCGGATAATTGAAGCTATAACACTACAGAGGAATACGTTACCAACAAACTATATATTAGATTTACCGTATAGATTAACCCAATAACACAAAATCACAATGAAGCCAGAGAAACAAATTAACCCAAGAACACAAAATCACATTCGAGCAAGAATGATCTTAAGCTTTATATATATTACCTGTCCACCATGAACTCCAATCACATGCCTAGTTGCAGGATCTTCACCACTTAAACCTTTTAATGGGCATAGCTTTATCTTCTTTTGTGAAGGTTGAGACTGGATTTAAGATTTGAGAGATGATTTGTACATGAGATGAAACGAAACCATGAAGAGAACTTAGAGAAGTGAATAATGAAGAGTGGTTCGTGGTAAATTCATATGATAAACACCTATTTGCAGGGAGGGATGTCAAACGATGCCGAGGAAGTTTAGGAGCCGGGATTGATCGTCAAGAAGAGTGGGTTTGAAGATATGAGTTTCAAATGGGCCATGAGAAATTACAAAGCGTAGATGAAGAAATCATTTTTTTTCATTATCGACGAAATAGGACCTGACGTGGCAAGATATAAGTATTTGATTGGTTAATTAAATTAACTTACGTGGCATGCCTCTCCTTTGAGGATTAAGGGCTTTTAGTATTGTTAGATTTCCACCGACTAGTGTGTAATCGTCCTCCATTGACCTAATTTCAAATCCTTATATAAAAACCAAACCCCTTTGCATATCCTCACATAACTTTTAGTAGCCTCCTTTTTTATGTCTCCTTCTCTTCATATTCTCTCTTTCGTTTTAGTGTTAGATACTCTTCAACATGTCCTTGTTTCTTGCTTGTCTACTACATGTATTATCGTTTTGTCTTGTTGGAAAACAGATCTGGATATTGTGGTGTTTTTAAAACCTTCTAGATTTTTAGTTTGGTCGAAACTTCATAAGGTTCCATTCAAATAGTAGGTTGCTTATATAGTTTTTATGTATTCTTCTGTGAAGATAGTAAAAGAAGATATCATATACAAGTTTTTTTTTTTCATATTTTATGTGAGTATGTACGTGAATGTATACATGAATCTACTTGAAATTATTTTGGATATTGTGATGTGCAAAAATCTTCCATCCGCATGTCATGTCGTTTTCGTAGACAGAGCGGCCATCTTTTGCATATATCAACTTTTTAAATGCCTGTTCATGTGTTGACCCTTCGGTGTGTAAAAGATCCTTTTCAATATTTATTCCCAGTAATATTGAAATCGATTTTTTTACCTTATGGCATACAATACTACTCTCGATATCTAAACAATTTCTTGTATATTTTCTCTATATATTAATATTTTATTTGCTTTATGGAAATCTGACTTTTCATGCCAATTAGTTTTTTACTTTCTAAAAATTGTTTGGTAAAACATTTACCCATTGTGTCTTATAAAAACATGTAAAAAGCGTTTTATGTGTTCTGAGACTTGTGATAATTACTTGAGGAATAAGGATTAACGATGAGCTTGAGGCTAAACTGGTTTGATTAAGTTCATGCAACCAAACATATGAGAATGATGAAATCCAAACTATATCGAAAGCAAGCGGCCTTATGGGTGCTATGAGCGTCGATTTTCCACACGAGATTTCTGACTCTTAATTAACTTCTCTGTTTGTATCAATAAAATTAATAACTAAGCATTAAAAAAAAATATGGACTTGTAGACGAGGGACTTGATATGATCTCTTGATGAATAAAGATTAAAGGCTAAGCTCGTCTGATTAAGATCATGGAACCAAACCTTGAGAATAAAAGTACACATTATGAACTCTATTTTAGACAAGGAGGAACGAGGATTATGTGATTAAAGACTAATCTGATTGGTTCAAGATTATCCAACCAAAACATGATACTAAAACTATGTGAGCATATAACATTATGAAGAAGAATAATAAGGGAATTAAAAAAAAAAGAAAAAAAAGCACTATGATCATTCTTTTGGGCAAGGAGGCTGGAGTTACCATAAATAGACCATTCCTTCCTATTTTTAGGAAGAAGTTTCAATTACCATAAATAGAAAATTATGTGGCAATTTAAAATTTTTTTTACTCTTACCATTATAAGAAAAACATGTTGCTATAATCACCCTGGAGTCAAGACTGGAACCATAACTTTTTTTTATCATTCAACTGTAAATAACTCTATCAAAATGTGAAGTTATTTTACAGTTTAGAAACTGAAATCAAAACAATTATTCTTCAAGACTGTTCATACTAGTTCAAGACTTGTTTTGAGAAGGTGAAGATGATGATAACCACATGAGGAAGCTAGAGATAGACCACATTGAAATCATACCTAAAACCTGTATCACACTCAAAAGCGTACCCAACGATCTCTTGATTTCCAGATTATGAACTGTTGCCTCTGCTCCTTTCACCGTAAATAACAATGCTTGTACTAACTGCGACGCTCTATTCAGCTGATGAAGTCTATACACCTACACAACACCAATAACATTCCTTTCAAAAAACGTTACCAAAGTGAAGTTTTGTTATGGCAAAAAAAAAGAGTGATTTGCCTATACCTGAAAGATGATGGGGATGGTGAGAGATGATGGAGACTTCCTGTATCTAGCGTACTGCTCGAAAGCAAACTGAACAACAATGCCTACAAGGTACGGTGCAAGAGTAGCTGAAGCTGCAGGTCCAGTCCATGGCCATACGAATCCCATTGTCACCATTGGGATCATTAGACTAAGTACTAATGTTGCTACGGAGGAGATTCTTTGTCCTAACTGAGAAGGGTTGGTTCTGGTGTCCTGGACTTTGCCGGATGATGTTTTTGAACGGTGTATTATGAGAAGATAAGCGGCGACTCCACAGTAGAAGAGAGCTTCAGTGAAGAATAATATGAGGAAGTCTGCAGATAGAAAGATGAGAGAATCAATGAGTTTTGTGTCAAGTTGAGAAGAAGTAAGGGGAGAATGCAAAGAGAGGAACCTGTGAGCAGAGAATCTTCAAAAATTGCTGAGACGATTCTTCTTAAGTAAATGGGAGGTAGAGTGAAAGAGGCGACCAAGACAGTAGGACCAATGAGCCAGAGTAGGCGTTCCCGTGTGGTTTGTGTTTCAGGAGGGATAAGGAGATCTTCTGGTTTGTTCTGAGGGTTGTAAAATGAAATGAAACCTGATTTGCCTCCGTTTCCGTTGTGTTGAATAGATGAACTATCATCTTGAGGTGTATCTTCGGGACTAGTTTGTTGACTTAGATCGTCTGGTGTTTGGTCAGTGTATTGGAACTGTTCTTCTGAAGTAGCGAGAGGCAGATAAGCTCTCTTTGGGGAGAGTTCTCTTGGTTTATGGTCTCTGAAGGAAATGTGAAGAGAATCAACTGTTCACAATGAATGAAGAAACAATAAAAGAATCTTACTCACAAGTCACAAGCTATATACAAGAAAGCAAAACAGATAACAGTAGAGAAAAGGAAGTTACTTTTATCAGGTTTAAGGTTCAGAGAATGGTAACAATGGACATGAGTAAGCTGATGCCGCCTCAATGGACGAAACTGGAGTTTGAAAAAGGTGAAATGTCAGCAAAACATCCATAAATAAGACCGAGAACCACATCAACAATAACAACCAGTGTTCTAAAAATCAGTATGCGCCACCTAGTCGGAAAATTTATATTGATTTTTGAAGAAATCTGTTAATATAAAGCACCTAATGGCCGCCTATCGATTTCTTGAACATTGACAACAACAGATTGCTTCCATTTCATAAGAACCTAACCTACTTAATCATCATGATCACAGAAAGTTCTGATTTTTTAATTCTCAGCATGATGTAGAGTACAGAGACTGCATTGTCCCAATTGACTTACACTTAAGAAGTTGCAGACTTTACCTCCACTTCATATTCATTGATAATAATAATAGTATCAACAATGTTTCAACTAGAGTGTTCCTAGCTAAAATTAAATTTATATCTTTTATAACAAAACTCGTTCCATATCTCTAACCACATAATCTAAACGAAAGGTACTACAAGAATCTAAAAAGGCTGAGCATAATAGATTGAGAGAGATTGATTGAAAAAATGTCACCTGCAAAGAAGACCGAGGTTGAAACGATGGAACCAATATAGACGCTGAGGAGGACACAAGCTTAGTAGCCATGACCAGTGAAAGGACCCAACACACAGTTTTGAAGCTGAAACTAACACTTAAACCTTAGCCCATGACACTGATACACGAGAACTCCTCAGATTTCACAAAAAGGAAGAATCTTTTTTCCCCTACTCGAGAAACTGAGATGTTTGGTATGCAAAAACAGAGGAGAATAAAGCTGAAGACTTTCCGAAGAGATTAAATGGAAATGCTAATTAGGGAATGTGGTGAGAGCAATGGGACCAGTCTAGGTTTGGGGAGAGACGCTCTAAACTAATAATCTCATCTCCTCTGTTTCAACTTCTCACCGGTCAAGTCATTTTCTTCATCTTCTTATTCTTTAAACACGGATCCGGTTTGAAACAACCCGGTCCGGTTTGATTCTCTAAGCACGGATCCGGTTAAGACATTAGAGAAGACAAAGGAGAAAGTAAACGATCATTCCTTGTCCAAAAAACCAAAAGTAAACGATAAGTACTTTGAACTTGATCCAAATCCTTGTTTTTTTAGGACAGCACGAAACTCGAGTGTAAGACATCTGTAAGTGTTGCTCTGTCTGTTTCCTTCAAAAGACATATATATAGAAAGAAAGAGAAGAGATGGGTTCTATGTTCAGTGGAAACCGTTTGAACAAGGAAGAGATGGAGGTTGTGATGAACAAAGCTAAAGAGATTGTCTCTGAGTACCCTGTTGTTGTCTTCAGGTTCTTACATCATCGAAAGTTCCTGTCTTTTTTACCTTTTTGTCTGTGATTACGTGTCTTGTTTGATAGATTGTGTATCATGTCTCTGTCTCTGAGGTCTTGTTTGATCAAAAGCTTGAGTCTTTTCCTTTTGGGTTTGCTTTATATGTCCAATACTTGAATCACTTTTTTGAGTCTTAAGGTTTGATTCATGTCCTGTTTTGCAGCAAGACTTACTGTGGTTATTGTCAGAGGGTGAAACAGCTGTTGACACAGCTTGGAGCAACTTTTAAAGTACTTGAGCTCGATGAGATGAGTAAGAAACCAAAATCTCTGGTCATTGAACCTGGATTATATTGGTCTCATGCTAAGTTTACAAGTTTAATAGGTGATGGAGGTGAGATACAATCAGCTTTAACTGAGTGGACAGGGCAGAGCACTGTTCCTAATGTTTTCATCAAAGGCAAACATATCGGTGGATGTGATAGTAAGAGAAACAAAAAACTATACAAACTCTATGAACATTAATTGCCGGAAGAATTAACTAAACATATTTGTTGTTGATTCTGTATTTGCAGGAGTGATGGAGAGTAACAAGCAAGGCAAGCTTGTGCCTCTACTTACTGAAGCTGGTGCTATCGCTAATAACTCTTCTCAGCTTTGATGAAACTCTGAGAGCGGTGTCCTATGGAAACGAAGGAAGTGAAGAACGAGTGTTATGTTTATGTCTGTCAAGTAACCAAATAAAGAAAGATCCTTTGCTGTTAACTTTGGTTTAAACTTCTTCCTTTTTTTGGTTCACACTAAAGACATCAAAACTGTGTTGTTTATGCTCTGTGGTTTGGTTAATAAAAGACTAATTTGAGTCAGATTCTTTCTGTTTCTCTTTTATATAGCAAGAGTATTGAAATTGACTTTAGTACCAGGATGGTTAACTCTGTACCAACATCCAATGTCAAGACTTGAAGCTCCATCTTCCTCCGGTTAAGGGAGCAAATGTCAACGATACTTCTTTGGCAAAAATGTTAACGGTCGAAGTTGACTAGATTCAGTTCTTTCCTTTTTTTTCAAGCAGGCTTGAGCTGAGAAAAAGGATGAGCAAGGAAAAGATGGAGAAAGCGATGAACAAGGCCAAAGAGATCGTCTCCTCATACCCTGTAGTTGTCTTCAGGTTTTCTTCAGTATATTTTTACTTCTGCTTTTTTCATTATTATGTTTTTTGAGGTTTTGATTACCAGAAGCGCAAGTCTCAACTGTCTATGATTGTCCTGTTTCTGGAGACTCTGTGTCTATGTAGACTTAAGTCATAGGAACATAAGATTTAAACTGTAGAGAATCTTGTTTGGCGATTATCATTTGATATCAGAGAAAACAGAAAGTCAACTGTTGGTGAAAATGATAGCTTTACTAAGAGGCTAGATTTAGGGAGCCAGAATGTGTTTTCCTGAATCTTGCAAGGAACTATAAGAAGTTGTTGTTTAGGATCTCGAGTTTTCGTTTGCTTAGCTGTATAGTGATTCACATATACTAGGCACCATGCATGCCACTCTTTGTAGTCACTCTTGACCCTTAGTCTTAGCTTTGAACAATGCTTCTCTTTGGCAGCAAGACTTACTGTGGTTATTGCCAGAAGGTGAAGCAGTTACTGACACAACTAGGAGCAGATTTTGAAGTACTTGAGCTCGATGAGATGAGTAAGAATCCAAATCCTGTTCATACTTGTTGAATGATAAATGCTTGTTCCCCTCTTTAATAATCTCTAACGGATCTCAACTTTCACAGGTGATGGAGGTGAGATCCAATCAGCTTTGTCAAAGTGGACAGGACAGAGAACTGTTCCAAACGTATTCATCAAAGGGAAACATATGGGAGGATGCGATAGTAAGAGAACCTTTTAAACAAGCTCTCTGCATTGTTACTGAGATTCGGGTCAAAAATCTACACAGAAGAACTAACTTATCATTTCGATTTGCAGAAGTGATGGAGAGTAACAAGAAAAGTAAGCTTGTGCCTTTACTTATTGAAGCTGGTGCTCTCGGAAAAATCCCATCCAAGCTTTGAAGAAGTTTGAAACTTGTGTCCTGAGACTTCATATTTATATGTTCAGATCATGAAAATGTATTGTCTCGTTAAACAAATAATACATTCTCTTTGTCAACTCTGTTTACACAAATCATGAAGCTCTTACTGAAAACATAGCAATTTGAAATTCAACACTCACAGCTAACAATATACAGGAGCCAACAACTTGAGAGCTCAAATACAAACACAGTTTCTAGCGTCTTTAACCGAAGAAGCTTATCATAGAACGAGCAAGTTGTTACAAAACTTCGCTTCTGATCTTTCCCTCTGTGCCAATCTGCTCTATAAGCGAGAGTCAATGCTTGTTATTAACTATCCATTACTTCACCTTCCACATCATCTGAGAGAAGAGAAGTGCGTGATGTTTTCAATGTGGTAGGAGCTGATTCAAGCCAATAGGAATAAGATAACGAACATAAACACTGTTCTTATGTAACTGAGTACAATTTTGTGAGTATACAGTATCAACACAATGATGGTTTTACTACTCATTTAGCACTTTACATCACCATGATTCAATAACACTCTTTACTTCATCACTGCTCATACCAGAAGAAGAGAGCTTCCTACTCCAATATTCTACACTTTCACCACTACTAACCCATACCTCTTCATTATCTTCTTCATCGAAATGATACTCCACACCTGAATCTTCAGAATCAAACAAATTCTCAAACCCATCTTCATATTCATCATCACCATCATCCAGATCACTATTATAAACATCAATGCCATCATCCCTGTTATCATCATTGCTATGCTCTCCCATGCGTCCTTTCCTTCTCCTTTCACGTCTAATTCTCTTACCTTCTTGTACAAGATCTATCAAACGTTCTCTAATCAACGATATCTCATCTCTCTCCAGAAGATCACCATTATCATTGTACGCTTCCACAAGAAACACAGAGTCTCTTGTTCCCTTAACACTCACATAGAATAGCTCTGGATGTCTCACTATCAATCCTCTTAACTTGAGAGGTAACGCAAACTCTTTCCTAAAATGTGTCAAATGGTCTATCAAAGTCCTTTTCTCGACCGTTAACCCCAACACTTCTCTCACAACTGCACACGCTCTCTTCTCCGCCTCAATGGACTCGCTCGCTAGACATTCAGATGACGTATTGTAAGGGCACACATCAGGTGAGTCTCTGAACTTGATCAAGTAATCTTGGTGTCTCCTCTTCAAGTTCAAACCCCTCCTGAGATTCAAACGCTTAAACTTCAAAGGACGATCAACAATCAAATCTCTATCAACTTCAGGTGATGGCATTTGGTTAGCCAATTCTTGATCCCACGAAACAAGCTCAAGCGCTCTCCCATAAGACGTATCAACAGTCTTGAACTTGTCAGGATAATCATTACAAAGCCTAGACCTGAAGTTAGGAGGAAAACCAAAATCCGGACCAATGTGAACCAGTTTAGACAAAAGCAACCTGCGGTGAGACGACAACATAAGCAGCTTCTGGAGCTTAATAGCAAGTTTATCAGCAATCTCAGACTTGAGATTCAGTTCTTCCAAGGCAAGAGACGATGCAGCTGGTGTCATACGGACACAGAGTGTAGATAAAGACTTTGTGGCATTGATAGGCAAATGTGGTGTAGGTGTTGTGAAGAGCTGGAAGATTGTGGGGTAACGACGGATCATGGAGAGGATAGTACGTGGGTTTTCGATGCCTAGGTAGGATCTGCATTTGTAGAGGATTTGAATTGGTATGTAATGCTTTGGTTTGGAGAGAAGTAAGGTTTTCAGCTTCTGCACAAACCGGACTCTGTTTTGCTTTACTACATGTTTGTCTAAAGATGGGTTTCGGACAATCTTGTGAGCTGAACATGAGATGTTAAAAGACAAAGCTGTGAGTTTCTTGGAACTGGGTTTAGTAGTTAGGTTACATCTTTGAAACTCAAAAGGAGTTGATGTGTGGATGAAAGTGGAGAAGAAGAAGAGCTTTTCTGGAGAGTAAGGAAGGAGTTGTGTAAGTGCCATCATCAGCTAAATCCTGAAACAAGAATCAAATAAAGTATAGAACTTTTAGCATCAAAATCATCTCAAAAGTTGATCTAAACTCATTAATCTACCATTTCATAAGTAAGCAGCTCATTGAGGCATTTATACAAACACATGGTGCGCAATTATAATCAGATGTGAGGAGGACTCAAAGTATAGAGCACAATTTAAAGACAAAATACACATAGTAAGATAAGAGATTCGTGGCTGGTGGTTTTTACCTTTTAGAAATTGCAGAGAAACAATCAAGATGACGAAACAGTAAAGAAAAGTTTTATGTATGTGATGATCAAACAAAATGTAATTTATTTAAACTCCAGATGGTTTATAATTTTGCAAATATGGTCCTCATATTTATTATTTTATTTATAAATAACCTGACATATTTAGAATTTAAATATTTTGTCGGTTGTGGCAATGAACACCTCGCCAAAAAAGAACTAAAATATGAATAAAAGAGTGAAACTCGGTTAAACTCACTCACACTCGCTAATTCTTTCTTCTTCTTCTTTTTCCTCCTCCTTAAGTTATCCATCTACTTCCATCATTCTGGTTTCTTGAGCAAGAAGGTTTCTTCCATCTTTCTGATTTCTTGAGCAACTTCTGGAGTAATCTCTCACCCGCATCACCTAAATTTGAACGTAAACACATTTTGATGGTCATTTGTTTATCTTGTGGTAGGATTGTGATATAAGATTTAGAGTTTATCTTGTGGTCTTGTATCCAGTTCCTATCAATTACTTTATTCTTAATAGATTGCTTTTTTAAAAAGTGTTTTTCTTTTGCTTCGGCAGATTCTTCATTCATAAAAGAAGAGGAGCTCTTGTCATCATTGTAGTTCTGGGAATCATAAAACTTATTTTCAGTCTGTTTACTAGACTATATGCACCATACTCTAATACTTGTGATTTTTTTTTTTTGTCATTTACAGATAATAGTCACACAAGGAGCTATGTATAGATTTCGGTTAAAAATGGTATAATTTACAGAGAAAACACACATCGTAAGATAATACTTCAGAATGTAATTTATCCAAACACTAGATGTTTTATACTTTTGCAATTGTGGTTCTTATACTTGTGCTTTTATTTATAAATGACCTAAAACATTAAAAATTGAATACTTTGTCAGTTGTGACTGTTAACACGGCGCCAAAAAAACAAAAATATGAATAACAGAGTGAAACTCGGTTAAACTTATCTCTGGTCATATTGAACAATCTCTAACTCTAATCCCATATCTTCTTTTACTTTTCTCTAACAAATATTTATTTTAACATATTACTTGTTAAAAACGTGTTTTTCAAATACGTGTTTTTTATTGTTTTATTTATGAATGATAGTAGTTGTAACATGAAGAGTTACGTAGATTTATTCTAAATATATAGAAGTCAGTGTCTTTGGACTAAATTTTCTAGGTTGGTTATGAATGGTCGTTTAGTCAACTTGTATATATTCATTTCAAGATGGCAAACACACAACTTGAGAGGAGAGACAATGATATACTGGTCATAAACTTCTTACTTGCTATAAAAAATTTTAACCGCGATGAAAATTAATAAAAAAATTTATGAAAAAAATGCACAAAACTTCTACACGAATGATGGATCATCTAGAATGCATGACATCTTATGACAATCTCAATTGGAGCAAAATTTGTTTCATTTTGAAGAAAATTCTGTTTCAATTGAGTTTTATTTCTTGCTTCAAAATAAAACAATGAATAGTATTGCTTCAAATTTGTAGTTATATTGTTCATTGTTTCATGTTTTTAAGTTATATTTTCTCAATTATAAATTGGTGTTAATTGTTCTTTTTGATAAAGTAAATATATACGTTAATACTATCTAATTAATATCAAAATTTTGACTATTATCTTCATATAATCTGATATTTATGTCGAAGAGTATATGAATTTTCATTTTAAGAACTTTTAACTCGATTAAAAAGAATCAAAGATAAATAAACTCATCTCTTATTTTTAACACTTTTGTTAATCAGTTACACAAATATATATATATATATATATGGTGCTTTTTTACAAATTATGATGTTTTGTGTTTGTTTATTCATGTTATATAATGGATATATTACATGATAATGTTTAATTTTATATTAAATAGTGACCATGTTAGATTATTGTTAAAACAAAATAGTTGAGTAAAACTTGTAAAATATGAAAAAAAATATAAAATGTTGGGATATTTACTATATGATTGTCATCATAGTCATACCTTCCTATTCATACCTACATTGCAACCGTAGATAAGATGACACCGACCCGAATCCACATTGCATTATATCTGTTTGCAGCTGTAATCTTGGGATCAACACTTGCAACTTTCATCAGAAGCAACCTCAAAGAGAGATCATTGATTAGATCATGTCAAGATGCTATATGTTCCTTAGACTGCTTCTTTAATGGTGAGTTTCTTCCCTTCCTAATTGGAGCGATGATACCAAACCGGTTGGTGAGAATCGTTTGCCTCATTGCATTCACAAGTCTACTCATAGGCCTGATCCTCATTATAGACTTTCAGCTGAAGAAAAGCAACAATCAAGACCTAAGTGCAAGATCATATTACATTATGTGGGGGTTTATGTTGATTACGAATGGAGGTATCGTTTTTCTCTGCCAGAGCAAACCAGCTGAGAAGAAAAGCATAGAAGACTTGGTTTGGGATACAAGAAACCAATGGAGGAGCTGGATAATTTCTTTATTTTAGAACAAAATTCTTTTATTTAATTACAAAGAAGAACATAAGCACTTGATCTAAAAAAAATTATTTGAATAAAAAATTTACATTCATTCAAAAATAAATATAAAAAGCATAGAAGGAAGCCTTAACCTTTGCATTAAATTATAGTTTTGTATTTATTCATATATTTAGATATAAAATTATTTCTTCAAAGACAGTAATTATCTAGCTTTTTTGTATAGTAATTATGTTATGTTTAATAAATAAAATACATTTTTCTCCCATTAAAAGGGTTCTATATATTTTGGTTTCCCCTTTTTGTATCTTTATCCTAATACAAATAAGATGAATTCCATCGTTGAGTATAAATTGCGACTGTCTATAAAATTAGGATAAACCAGATCATTAACTTGGATCATTTTAGATCATTAGCTTGGTTTAAATTGCTAAATCTTTATTTCTTTTAACTTTTTTGTTTTTTTTCATCAAATAACTTTGTTGTTTTAAGATTTCAATTACGCATGCTTTTACTTACGCTTATTATCCCATAATATATCAATGTCCGTTTGAACATATACCTTTTTAAATATGCTTATTTGATAAGAGTTTATTTGTATCTATGATGCTTTGCGCACATCAGTCACATTGCCTACATGTTAGAGAGTAAGAAGTGAAGGAACATATATAGCTCGAGTTAATAGCTGATTGAATATGAACAACGTTTTTTAATTACATATATACCAGCTTTTCAACTTTCGTTAGAGAGTCTAGATGGCGTTTTGAGTTTTATAATTTAATGGAATAGCTAGTGGGGTTGGGAAGTACAGGGTGAAATCCACTATTAGTTCATAAACAGCTCATAACATGTCCAACGAAAGCTAGCCAATCTTTAGGCTTATAAACAAATTAATAAATTACTGTATTTTGCTCTTTTATCATGCTCTAAATTGTCATATTTTCAAGCAACCTCTTATTAAATATGAGCAAAGAATATTAAATCATATTTATAAGATGAATTTGTTGCTTCACACGTCTTTTTGTTTTGTTTTCCTTCTGTATTTTCGAAAAAAAGACATCTACTTAAATTGAATTCAAACGTGGTTGCTTTCTATGTAAGCTACTACCGAGGACTCTGGTAAGATTCAGGGAACCATCTCTGAAGAAGCCGATGTTTTAGCTTCACCAACAAGATAAAGGCTCCATAGCATGGCAAGTGCATCACTGCTACCGAGAAATACCTGTAAAAATATCATATCATTTGAATGTAATCAGCCCAAAATTTTCAACAAAACAATGGAGAAAATTTTAAAACATTTAGGAAAAATTTAGGTTACCATAGTGGAGCATAGTGAGATGCTAAGTCCAAGAATGGGTAAGGCCACCTATTTAAAAAACAGTAAGGATAATTACTGTCAAGGTTAAGAATGATTACATACAAAAAAACAGTGGAATTTGTATTAAATGTTACCATATATGGACTAACGAGTGGAGAGTCCATTGGAATAAAACATAAGCTATTGTCCATAAGAAGAAGTAAGCAATTCTGAAGCATGGAAAGCTCTGTAATAGAATGAAGATTTCAATAATCAAATACGAATCAAGAGTATATACAGCTGCTTCTGTATATTCATTTGTTAGAACTGAGATTTACCAAAGAGTTCAAAGCAGCATCACCAAGCAAGAAAATCGCGTTAAGAGAGTGCATGCTGATCACCAGCTGCAATATTTGATCATGCATATTTTCTTTTTATGAATTGATCATCAAGTGTGTTTATATAATGTATCAAAAATAAAATGGCTTATTAGATTACTTACAACATTGAGGCTATAATCATGAATTTCAAGGAAAGGAACAAGGATGAACCAGAAGACACAGTCAGTGAGCAAAACTGCACCTGCATTCATCTGTATCACCCAATATCCAATCAAGAAATCATAAAAACCAGATAATATCTTGTGCTTGATCATTATGGATTTTGATTTTAATTACCTGAAAAATTATCTGGAAAACATATCCCCAAAAACCAGCTGGTTTACTAGAGTATTGACTCTGTTGAAGAGTATGATCAGGGCCTTTGGATATTACTCTCTCTGAGTCTATGGACATAGCCTCAATACTATCTACTTTATCACCAGCCACTCTTTTGTTGTATTGGTAACATCCATGCAGTGAAAGAAGAGAGCCTAGCTGTTAAAATAAAATAACATAAACTAAATAAGAAACTTGAGTAATGTCACAAACAAGTTAAAAATCAAAGTAATAATGTTTTGAGACAGAACATTACTCCAAAATAGAGAGTAATCAAAGCAAAAGTCCACCTGCAAATCAAAATAGACCATAAGGAAGGAAAAAAAAAACATTAAAAACTAACAACAAAATAAAGAAGTCACATTATAACTATTATCAAGATAAAGAGATATAGAGCTTACTGTGTATAGTAGAAGAAGATGGTAGGTCCATCAACAATGCCAATAATGATAAGCATAATGAGAAGAACAAAGAAGGCAGCAACTCGAAAAGCAAGAAGCCAAGCTGGGTGAATATTGCGTAGACAAGGTCTCCATGTCTCATCTTCATATACATTACCTGACCACTCTTTTTTCTCTCCTCCTTCTCCACCTTCTCCTCTAAGTTCCCGGCGAAAGCCCTCGTATTTGAATATAAGAAAAGCTGTAATAACCATCGCTATAGCCATCCATATGCAACAGATCATAACCCTCCAGTTAAACCAGTAGCTTGATGCTGTTGTGTTGGCTATTGGTGTTGATGGATGCCAAGCATCTTTTAACTCTACATATGAAGATGGTGATGACAATAATGATGAATCCATTTTGTTGCAAGGTTGAGAAGAAAACAAAAACAGATTAAAGAGTAATTATAGAGTGGATTATTTAGAAAAATATATGTAGGGAGTTTTGAAATCTTGGAGTCACGAGGTGGTTAAAGATATGAGATGAAGCAAAGGGAAAGATTCGAAGCTTTAAAACCATGTGTTCTTGCACATAAAGATGAAGTAAACCATTGCTAAAGAATCTAGCTGATCAGATTTGAAAGAAAAATGTTTTAATAAAGATAAAGAGAGGAAAGAAAGTGAATAAAGAAGAAGAAGTAGGGAGCTGATTTCGAAGCTAAGGAAAGAAATGATCCTTGTAATAAAAATGCAAAAAGACTGTGGATGTGTAAGAGAACACGATTCTTTGCTTCTTTGCTTTAGGAAAGACAAGTATTTTTATACAGTGAGAGAGAGAGAATTAAATAGTTTTAAATAGTTAATTGCTCAAATTTATTAACCATAACTTATAAGTATATAAATAATGCATGAACAATGTAGCATAATGTTTCAATATTTAATTTAAAAATTTCACGTATGTAAAATGGCAATGGATTCGAGGCACTTGGTTGAGGATTTATGTCTTGAGAGGAAGGAGTTTAATTTAGTTTTTTTTTTGGTAAAATGTTTAATTTAGTTTTTTGGCATATAGTCAAACTGATGCATTGATACATGGGAATAATATAGACACGTATATGTGGATAAATGGTTGAATATAAATGCATATATGTATGTTTAAATGCTCAAGAATCTATAAAGATGTAAATAAAATATAAGGCATCTCGATGTGGAGTCTCAATCTTTTCGCAAATACCAAAGTGTATAAAAGCTTTAATGGGACGTATGCATTGTTTATGTCCTTTCTCTTTCGTTATACTATATGTTATACACATGTACTCTATATTTTACGTATACACATACGTGGATATGTTTATACGCGTATAAATGCGAAGATTCCAAAGTGGGGAGGAGACAGAAATGGCTTGTGTTTAGTTAGGTTATACAGTTCCACCAATTAAAAAGGGAATAAATCTTTTTGATATTGTATATTCAAATAAAATGAAAATAAAGGATATATTTGGGAGCTCTCTAAAGAATTATGAAATGTTTCCTTTTGACGATTTAGATGTGTCAATGACAATAATAAATTAACTAAGAAAACATCTTTTGATGTGGCTATATTTTTTTATTAAGATAAATGTAATGATAGGTTACTTTTGGTCAAAGGAAGCGAGTGGGACACATCAAACCCAAACCGAAGACTTTAATGAGGTTTCAGATAAACATGCAAAGACCAGAGGGTGGACCCTTTCCCATTCTTCTTAAAAAAATACTTTCAGTAATTTTGTGTATATTCCATCTTCTATATGTTTGAGAACAAATATTTTGAGTTTGAAACTTGAATGGAAAGTTATTTGAAAATGGATCACGTGATGACTGATGAGTAACAATTAAATATGTGGCTAGTGTATTTAGTAGGCTGGTTAGTTTAGTTGAAGCAAATAAACAGCATTCAGAACCTTCAAAGTTGTAAGTATCAAATTAGTTTATAATCTTTGTGAGTGTAATTATATAATTCTGAACAAAAAGCTTTTGCATTTTAAAATTTAACCAGTATGTATGTAAATACATAAATTATATACATGTGCATTTCAATATAAACATCGTTTTAATATATCTCACACAAATTATGCCACACAAAATGCAACATGATACTAAATAATATCCTATGTAGGTGCATTGTGGATCCTTGCAATTATCCTGAACAAGAATGATCGAACCTAAATGTTGAATTATTTGCTGCAATTTTTGTTTTATGGACTGCTCTACATGTTTACAACCTAATATGGTTACATGATTAGATTAGTGTCAAGTTTGTTATAATGCAGCTCCTAAATTATCTTTATATGTAAAAAGAAAATCAGTACACAGTTGATGATAATGCATGGCTTGTAAACATGTAGACTATTAAGAAAAGTTGAATATTTCATTGGTTTCTCAATTCAATAGTGAAAGATGGTATATATTTCCTCCCCTCCCAACCAGTTAAAAATATTTTTTTTCTCAAAAAGAAAAGGATGCTATATATTTGTTTAAAATTTTGGAAATTAGTTAGTAACTATTTCTGGTGGGGTTTACTTGTTTAGATTTTCTTGTTGATGATAATGCATGGCTTGCTGAATACGATAAAATATCTTCAAGAAAACAAGTACAATTATATTAAGAATAAATTGTCTATTTTTAATGGGCCATCATAAGGAATGCTTATTGGTAACTCCAAAACAAGAAAAATAAAATCTATGCATTAGTTAAAATAAACCAAAGTATACGATCCTAGTGGACCAGCCTTGGGAAATGCTTATTGGTAATTCCAAAAGATTTTGATGCCTTGTGTTGTAAGACGTTTGTCTCTACACAACAGCCAATGCAATTTACGCATATAAATCTTTAAAAACATACTAACATTCTAGTATGTGATGAATAATGACTAATAGTCTAATACATTTACCAAACTTGTGTATCTTTAAGAAGAAAAACATGTGTATCATTGAGTCGATTAATCAAATTCATCAAATCTGTTTGGACCTGTTTAAAGAGGTGAATCTAGCAAATAGCGGCCTTCATGGCTTTGTCAAAAGCAAACTTTTTCCAAATAAATCAAATTGATTTGTAACGATTACCCAAAGACTAAAAAGAAGTTGTAAGATTTGTGAGTTGTGGGGGAACCATTTCTGTCGGCAGTCTCTTTTTCCTTCAATTATTTTTTTTTTCTTAAATTATCATTGCAGAAAACACTTTGATATGAACACTGAAAATGTTCCAATTATCTAAGAAATTAATAAACAAATAAAGTTGGTTTTGAACTCCAACTTTCAAACATATAGCTTGGTTATATGTATTTGGTTATTAATGAGTTATAGTAAATAATATTAAAGACATAATTATATTTTATTATAGTTATATTCTGTAATGTTATATGAAATAATAAGTCGGTCACGTAGGTTTAAAGAGGAAGAGTTGTTTACACATGAATAGAGGATTCATGTGTGACAGAGGAACAGCTCAGCTGCCACAAACAGAACCAAAAGACGACAGCGACTCGACGTGGACGCTAAGTAAACGCGTTTGTAACTAAAACTGCTGTTATCTTCACGTTACTACTACATTCTATTTTAAAATCGACAACACACAATACTAACAATATTCCATCTTTTGTCTCTATTAATCAATGAACAAACTCACAAGGCTTCTTTCATATTTTAAACTCTTTAAAATGCCCACCACAGAAACGAAAGCAAATTAACAATATAATTTGGTATTTACTTTGGAAACAAAATCGCATTATAATAGAACTACTTTTTATAATAAAAATAAAAACTAGACCACATTAATGAAGATGTATTATTGAACAAATAAGATTGGAAATTGCTTTTTATTGGTTACATGAGAAAATGTTAAACTAGACAATTTACAGAAAAAGACCAGGTTACAAAAAAAAAATTACAGAAAGAGATTTGGTACCTTTCATGGATTCGCAATTTTCTTGCAAGGAGTAAAAGAAATGAAGAATTGCCCAAAAATTTTTTAAAAAAATGTTAGAACAAACCAACAAGATGATGTTTATATAAGAAACAAAAAGGTTAAAATATCTTATAAATAAAAATATGTGTAAGTGAAATTTAAGAAAGTGTAAGAAGCATGAAGAGTTTTAAAGGCAAAGAGAGGAGCCTTGCCTGATTGGAGTGAACTAAAGGTAGTTAGTTAGCTTAGCTTACATTACATGTCTCAAGTTCTTTTGTTCTCCAGAGCAAGAATCTGGTGTCCTAATTCCCTTTCATTTTTTAACAAACTCTAAGAAAATTAAGAGTTTAAGAAAATTAAGAGTTTTGTCTATATTGTTATATCTATATGTCTTTGATCGAGCCGCTGCATACAATATGATTTCTAAAATTATTACCATCTTCTATACAAAAATTATATATATATATATCTTCTAAATTTCTAACAATTGATGATACCAAGAGTCGTTTATTTCATTTTAGTTTCATTTCAAGTTTACTTCTTTAAAAAAAAAAATTGTGTGTTTACATCACATGTGAATCTAAAATATATTATGCCTTACACCAAAAGAAAATTTATGCCAGTGAAAAGGCAAACGTTACACATCACAAAAATCATAATGATAGCTATTGTGACATATTGTTGGGCCTGAAAGCTTATTAAACTAAAAATAGATAGGCTCTAAAATAAAAGTAGAGGGGTATTATTATGGGCCTATGGGATAACGTTTTCCAGCCTAACGGGCTCAACATAGGGTTTTGATACACTTCTGTAAGTAGTAATAGGGATACTGAGTGATATTGCCGACGAGCAAAACCTCTGCATCAACCTCATAGATGAAGAACATAATGTATCTATATATCTCCTGATCCATCTTAAGTTATGTTTCTTTGCTCGAGTCATCTTCTTTTATGAATCGATGTTGGTCTTTGCAGTGTGAAGGCAAACGCAGGTACGCTTACAAACTTCGAAGTATTCGACTTGCTTAACTCAAGAGGTGCATCAAATGATACTACAAGAGTTATAGGTCCAATCGCTAAATCAGAATACAAGGTTACGTGTTGTTACTTTAGCCTTAGTAAAATATTTAGTGAAGTTTAATTACCTTTTGTTAATTCAGGTATATGATTACTTGATGGAGACTCCTGCTTGCACACAAACACTAGAGAGCGTTACAAACTTCTCTGATCAGTGCAAAGATTTCAAACTTGCTAAAGCTGAGATTCTCAATATCATCAATATCAGGCCATCTTTTACTGTTCAACTGGCCCCGGTTTGTGTTGTTCTTTACCAGATCTCATGAACATATCTATCGTTGCATTAGGTATATCTACTTACAGGTTGCCATGATTGCGAGTTTTGTAGATCTTAGAGGAGCCTAGTGAACGGGGAATCAATAAAAAGAAACAAGAGGGAATACTAAAGCTCGTGGAGGCTTTGCTACCGCCTTCTCCTATAGTGGAAGCTCGTGGAGAAAACGAGGAAGAGGAAACAGAGGAGGGTGAACAATCATAACATGGCAACTGCAGTTTTGAAGACTTTAATTTTTGAGTTTATTGTCCTTCTGTTTTCGATTTGTATAAGCATCACTAAACGTTTGTGAGTTTATGTGAAGTTTACTAATGCATACTACATGGTTTCTTTTTTTTTTGGTAACCTAATGGTCCAGGCCTCACCGTAGTGGTCCAGGCTAGAGATCGAACCCTTTAGCAGCACGGACGCACACCCGAAGATGGGTCATGGTCGGATAGCGGTCTTTGGTCTCGGGCACCAGAGCAAGTCCGTATATAAATTCCTTGGTGGCCAACGCGAATCGAAACCATGACATTTTCATTTCCATATAACAATGTAGGAAATATAAGTCATATATGACAAAAAGAAAGAAAACCATATTCTTTCTTACACCAAAAAACATATTCTTTCTGTTTCATAATAATACACACCTTTTGCTATTATTTGTTTTGTAATTATAATATTTATTGAATATCATATAAATAATTATTTTTATGACTATTTATAATTTATATATTAAATGGTATTCTTAAAAAATATCAATATGTATTCTTTTAAGTAAAATAGTTATATTAGGAAATAAATAAAGTATGTGCGTATGTGGTAATGGGGATTATCGTTGCATGCTCTTGAGTATCGAGGGAGACCTTTGCTGTGTAAGGTTCAAGTTCACATTGTTTTTATACAGAATAGTTAAATACAGTGGTGGTAAGAAAAAGTTGTATAAATTGAAAATTTGAAAATACACTAAAACTAACTGAAATACCTATAATTTTTAGGTTAGTACATTTTGTAGAATGAGCTAACAGCCTAAAAACAAAATCAAGAAAAACCAAACCGTAAACTAAGCTACATTATATAAATTCTTACATCCTCAAACGATTAGGTCCATTATTTCATGATTTTAAAAGAATAGATGTACGACCCACACAAATGTAGAGGAATATGTTCTACAATTATGTGAAAAAAGTAAGGCAACTTATTTAAAATACTTTTCTTCTCGAATATTATTTCAAATTTCGTTGGATAAGCATAAGGTTTGACAACTTGACATAAATGAAATAGGTATATATATCAACCTTTATGAAAGCATATGTAATCCATTCATTTTCACGGATAAATATTCAAGATTCGTAAATATATGGCTAGTGAAAGCATATACTAATATATCTAACATCTTTTAATTAAGTTAAGGTTATATTTAACAAGGTTTAGCATGACAGTATTTACCATGAATTATTGTATGGGTTAGTGAGTGTGAGTATTAATATACCTAATATCTTTTAAATAAGTTAAGGTTAATGAGAGTAATATAGTGTTTTATCATCGATAGCGTATTAGTGAATGATAATCGCTAATGTTATACGGATGATATTATGATGATGTAAGGACAAACAATGAGTGATGTAATTAGAACAAAGATACGCGGGACAGATACACTTTGTCAACTTTAAAATGTGGGTCTCACTAAATTAGATTAGATATATACATAATGTGCCAAAGAATATGTCTTCGTCACGCTTAGCTTATCTTGCGAGATTTATATTCTCATATTCACCATTTTCGATGCTCTTTTACTCTTTTCTATCTTTCCTTTAGTTTTAAATTTTATTCTTTTGAAAGTTCATCATGTGAACCAAGAATGAAGTATTCTTCTCCCTAGATCCTTACAATCTTCTGTTTCCTACTTGTCTCATAGAGTTTACGAAGCTTTCCCTTCAAAGTTATTTAATTTTCCGGTTCATGAATAAGGTCTAATACAATTTGGAATGTCATTTAACGAAGGTTTAATGAGGTTGCTTTGTTTTCCAACTCCATATAAATTAGAAAGTAATATTTCTAGCTATGCAACTACCTACATTTGTTGTAATTCAAACTAAAGTTCAATATATATATATGAATCGTAAGAGTTAGTATGTGTATCCCACTATCACAAATTATACTAGCTAAAAATTCTCATAAAATAGCACAAAATATATACTAGTTTCGCCTTAAACAATACCACACAATATTGGCCTGTAAAAATAACATCATTAACATTTTCAGTGTTATCAGTATACAAGAACCAACACAAGTTCGGAATTTGAGTTTCGAAACTCTATACACAGGTACTAAAGTTATCATACATTGTAGCCGGATTAAGATGAAAACTTTTAGTTACAAAAAGAGAATTACAAAATTAAAAGCAGTTAAATATTAAAATGGAATACTTTCCTCACAAGAATACTTCATCTGTCAGCTACTTAAAATTTTTGCTAGATAGACTTGTTAAATCGTTGTAAACAACAGCAATTTCTAAATGTAGAACTAGATTTATCCGACGGTAAGGTGAATATCTTTGTAATTAAAAGTGTAATGTATACTCAATGATAATTAGTCGACATGATAAAAACGAAGCTAGACAATAACACGACTTGATGTCGTACTTAATAGTTTGTAGTTCATTTTCAGTCAAAGATCACTTTCAAAAATATGATTTGCGTTTTGAGATCTATTGATACACAACCAATTCTAAAAATCACATGCATTTTTTTATATAATATAAGTAAAGAACTGCTAGAGCCCGCAACTTTTGGCTCATGTTCTTCTTTTCCATCGATCAAAACTCTTTAACTTTTGATTCAAAATTTTCAGTAAACAGAAAGTATCCAAAGTAATTAACTTACTAATGATTAGGGTTTTTGAAAAACAAAACTTGAAACAGATTGCCACATGTAGTAGAGAATGACAGATGGCAAGAGAATAAATACTTTGCTTGAGAGGAGCGAACGAGTGGGTCCCATTAATAGGCCCACTTAAGTTCTCCAAACTCTCTTCCTACTCTTTATCGTAAGTCTCAAAACAGAAAAACACAGACAAGAGACTTCGAAAAAGATATTATTCTCTTCTCACTTTTGTCTCAATTGTGTGAAGATCAAGCCGCTATTTCTGAACTCATCTAACGGTTTACATTGTCTAATTAGGTCTCATGGGTTGATCGTAGCCGTTGAATAGATAAAGATGATTGGTCAAGTAGACGTGGACCCACCCAAGGAATGTGGGTCCGAGATTTTTGGAACCACCGACGCTTTCCTTTTTCCACTAATCCGTATATACGGTCCATCTATACATTTATAGACATATTTATATACATTTATTATCTAGAAAATTAAAGTTTTGCACTTTTATCATGATCACCAAAGCAAGGCGTATTAACTTTTTCCAAAAATCAAAATTTTCGTTTAAGAATTTAAAAGACATATAAATTGATTAAGTAATGTCTTTACATTTTCTAAAAGAAAATAATGTTATGGAATATCGTTCAAAAAGGAAGTTACAAATAGTTATATCCAAAAATAAATCAAGAGAATAAAATAAAACTATGTAACTTTAGATTAGTACGTGAGTTTAGATAAAACACCTGGACGACGAAAATTAATAGTAACTAAAGTTCAGATAAGATATAATGAGAAATTTTACGAAATTATTTGTTAAAATCAAATGATACTTTCTCTAATGTTAACACCATCAGTTTTAAACTAAAAATTCAAAAAAAGAAGAAGTAAAAACCAATTTGTAAATGTGAACTAACTTAACTAAGTATAGTAGAATTGGTTTTTGAGTGGAGACAGCAATCCCGAGGCAGAGAAGGGTCCTCTTCTTGCTTCCTTCATATTCACATCCCAACCCCCAAACTCTTCCATGCCTCATCTCCTCTCTCTCTCCTCTCATCCCTCTCTCTAGTTTTTGTTCATAAACTTTGTCTTAAAATTTTCACTCTCCCCAAACTAAACAAACACAAAATGGGTCTCACTTCTCTTCAAGCTTGCATGGATTCTGATTGGCTCCAGGTATGTAATGTTAGAGCATGATCTTATCTGTATTTCCGTTTGCATTTACGTTTAATGATAGTTTATTTCTTTCAAAAAACAAAATTTAAACACTTTTTAGCGTTTTTTTGACTGTTAATAGTAATGGTAAATGTCATATGCAAATAGAAGGCATGTTACATTTTTGTTTACATTTTATAAAAGTGGTTCTCTCTTTTAGATGTTTTTTTGTTTCTTATGATTTGTTTGTTTTTGTCTCACGTAAAAACATATCTCCATATGTCTCATGTAAATGCAAATGCCAAACAAATATAATGGGTTGATACAACATTTTGATATGGTTTTGTAAATAAATATTAGGAAGCTGAGTCATCAGGAGGAAGCATGTTAGACTCTACAACGCTTTCTCCATCAGCAGCCGATATACTAGCTGCTTGTAGCACTAGACCACAAGCCTCAGCCGTGGCTGTAGCCGCCGCGGCTATGATGGACGGTGGAAGGAGGCTGCGTCCACCTCACGACCATCCTCAAAAGTGTCCTCGCTGTGAGTCAACACATACTAAGTTCTGTTACTACAACAACTATAGCCTCTCTCAGCCACGTTACTTCTGCAAAACTTGTCGCCGTTACTGGACCAAAGGCGGCACTCTAAGGAATATTCCGGTAGGTGGTGGTTGCCGGAAAAACAAGAAACCCTCTTCCTCTAATACATCATCCTCCAAAAAGCCCTCCAGTGACCTTATGGCTTTAGCACATTCTCATCAAAATTACCAAAATGGCTCTCTAGGGTTTTCACATTTTGGTGGGAATGGGATGATGGGGTCTTACACAACTCCTGATCATAGTAACGTTGGTTTCTTGGAGAGCAAGTATGGCGGTTTGTTTTCGCAGAGCCCTAGATCTATTGATTTCTTGGACAGTAAGTTTGATCTTATGGGAATGAACAATAACAATCTTGTCATGGTTGATCATGGAAGTAACGTAGATCATCAACACATTCATCAAATGGGTCTTAACAACAACAATGGTGGTGGTCTCATGGATATCTCTACATGCCAAAGACTTATGTTAAATAATTATGACCATCATCATTACAACCATCATGAAGATAATAATCAAAGGGTAACATCAATAATGGATGTGAAGCCAAGTCCAAAGCTGTTATCGCTTGATTGGCAACAAGAGCAAGGCTACTCAGAGGGTAGCGGCAACGGGGGTGGAGGGAGATCTGACGGTGGTGGATACGGTGGTGGCGGTTATATCAATGGCTTAGGTTCGTCGTGGAATGGTTTGATGAATATTGGTTATGGATCATCCACTAAAACAAACTCCTTGGTTTAATAAATTCATTTTAGAACTTTTGTTCTTGTCTTCATCAACTAGTAGTAGTATAGTGGAGAAGCAATTAAATTAGTATATGGGGTTGTTTAATTAGCCAGTTTTACTTTCGTGATTGTCTGCTGATTACGAGATGATTAGGGAGTTCAGAGATATTTTTATTTTTGTGTGTGTTTGTGTGGTTGATGACCTGTAATGTTTCTTGTTATATATAAATAGCCCCATTCTATTAACTTGGTTTACAAAAACTATTTAACTGTTTTGTGTGTTTTTTTTTTGCTAATTTTTTTAATCAAGGTTGTTATATCCAATGTATTATATAAACAGAGGCCATTAAACAATATAACATGTATTACTCCGGAATTATCTTAAACAGTTCATGTTCTTCAAACTTCTCTTGCCCAAAGCTCTCATCTCAAAGTAGAATTAAGTGATAAACTCCACTGAACTGAAATGGTTGGCGAGGAATAGGATTCGGCCTAGGGCCATAAACTATTAACTTCAACGTGAGATGAATGTAATGCTCGGATGTTATTTTTTCTTTGTTTTGCTAAGGATCAATGAATTCAAATTTCTGTCCATTGATTTTATCGATCACACTCATCACTATCTGACGCATCGTGGAGGACTTTTAAGACCTCCTCTTGAGGTACCCTTACCTTTCTCTGATATATGAGGGAAAATGCTGGACTATTAGCCTTGACAAGAGTGGGTAGTAGAAGGGTTGTTCAGATAGCTGCAGGCTTCATGATCTTCTTCTCCATTCTCGGTAAATTTAAGTAGAAGAAAAAGCTTTTGTTTTATATGTACTCTCTAATAATACTTTTTGACTTTGTAAATCTAAGGGTACACAACTTGGTGATTTTTTTGTTAGTTTCTAAGTATTTAGTTTGATTTTTCCTTTCTCTCTTTCTTACTCACAAGATTATGTATACATCATTATTTGTGTGTGTGTTTTAAGTTGGTCACATACGAGAGAGTGGCCTTTCACTTTAATGTGAGGTTTTTGTTGTCTTGTAAAAATATATTCAATTTTGTTGTCTTCTTATAAAAATAAATGTGGGAGCATTTTGTTTTCTCCATCTTAATTTGGGATAAAGTATGTTTCTATTCACGAAGGGGAAGGGAGTGTTATTAATTGTCGATATGATTTTGTATGCTCATAGCCCACTAAGGCGGTTAACTAATATAGCCCATAAATTAAAAACGGTCATTAAAAAGAAGCGGTTTAAGTTGAAAATAAAGAGCCGTTTACTTCTCTTTTTTTTCCCGCTTCGTCAGAAACAGAGGAAACAGAGGAAACAAGAAACTCTCCTCCAACGATGTCTTCCTCTATTTTCTCAACCAAGAAAGCACAAGAATGGTCACACACCATCAAAGAGACGTGTATTCCTCTCCTCAGGCCTGGATCTTCACCCCCTCTACTCAAAGAAGCCATTGATGCTTTGGTAGAAGATATTCTCTCAAACTTCACCTCAAGTGATGCTGCATCTATAAGTGATCTTCTCTCAGCCTCTGAGTGCAAATACCTAGACACACCTTTCCTCTTCCAAGGTGATATACATCCTTACCTCCTCACCAATCTATTTAGAATCTTCATCCACTTAGCCAAACCAAAGAATCTTGATGGTGAAGAACATGTAGCAATAGACTTGTGTATGGATGAGGAACAAGAAGATGAGCTGTTGAAACGAGTGGAGCAGATAGATAGGAGAGTTCGTATCATGGGTGATGAGATTCTTGGACGTTTCAAACTTGCTCAAATTAGGTTGTTGACACAAGAAGTAGAAAACTCCATGCACACCCATGAAGAAGCAAAGATGGAGAAGAAGCTTGAGGATGAGAGTTTGAAGAAGGAAATAGAAGGCATCTTCAAGGATGCAAATCTACTGAGAAGCAGTGTTCTAATAAGCATCATGGAGGCTACAACTAATCATCAAGGAACCTTGTATCTACAACTATTATGTGACATGATCATAGCTTTCAAGAACAAGGTATTTTTTCTACTCACTTCTCATCTTGTCTTGTCTTGTTGATGTTGTGCACTTTGTTTGTGTTTGTTTGAACATTGTATGTGGTTTGATATCACAGGTGTGTGATGAAGACAAGAGAGACAACAATGCTCTCTTGGCAACCTTCATCAATGGCATAATGAATGTGCCATCATACATTGACATCTTGGGAAGAATGACAAAGAAGGAGAAGGAGATTACAACCTTGATGTTTGCCTCAGCAGTCATTGGATCAGCTGGCTCCACATTTGTTTCATCTAGCATGAAGAGCAAGAGCTTGAAGAGGACCATAAAAGATGCTTCATGGGCTAGTCTCTTCTTCTTCTTGGGTGGATTTGCTCTCTTGGGCATGGGTCTCCTTGTCAGAAACAGATGGGTGAAGATGGGGCTGAGCATCTTATTGACATCTTTCATTGTTGGTGTTGCCATATCCAGCAAGAAGAAGCAAGAGGAGTCAGTAATTAAGAGTATAATTAGGTGGTTTATCATTGTTGGTGCCATCAGCATTAGTGTGTTGTTTGCTGATAGAGTGCACCAGTTGAGAGCTAGTCCATAGTTAATGTTTTTGAGACTAGCATATGTTTAGGATATGAGTCTAGTCTTTTCAATTACTGATAGAGAAACTGTAAGTCTTTAGTCTTTTCATTTCATGAGAGAGAGATCAAAGTCACGGAATGTTTCAAGTCCTTTTGTAAAACTTTGGTTTGGAGATTAAGCAATGTTTTAAGTCCTTTTGTAAAACTTTGGTTTGGAGATCAAGCAACTTTGTGATTGTTACATGTATGCAATTATATGTAGCTTATCTAACACTCAAAAGTAAACAAAAGAAACACAGAGTTCAATGATAACACAGCACTGCCTTCTCTAGAATCTTTGCCACTAGATATACCAGAGCGCACATGTGTACCCAATGGCTTCTTCTTGGCAGACTTTTGAACCATACTTTTCTCCTTAATTTGCCTGGAGCAAGCTGACATTGTATTCGTTTGTGCTTCTGTTTATGCAACCAAAACTAGTGTCTTTTAACAGCGGGTGCTGGAATCAAAAGAGATCATATCAGATGAATCAAGCCATACAAGAGAACTGAGTCAATCTATTAACCAAGTAGTACTGCATGTGTTAAGCAAGTATTGTTTCACATTTGAAGTGGGGACTTACTTGCCATTCACCAAGCAGTGCGTGTACAAAGACCACTAGCTTCCTCTTCTTTTGAATGAGAAAGTCAATGTCCTGAATGTTTAACAAGTGGCTAACGGTTTGAGGGCAAAGAGGTCCTGTAAATGAAACCAGAATCAGATATGTCAGATCATGATGAGGACAGAACCTGAAAAGACTTTTCAGGAACAAGTGTGATATGACTTCACACAGAATCAATATGAGCTGTCTAGTAATTTTGCCAATTGAGAGAGAGGGTAACATATTATTCTCCATCATGAATGAGGCGAGGAGCTTCATAACTAGTTATAATACAAAGCAAGAACAAGTTACCCTAAAACTTTTGGGGGCATTGTAATGAATAGATGATGTGGGAGATATTTATTCGAAAATTGCAGGCCTGTGATGAAAGAAGGCATCAAGTATAGATATTGTTGACCATGCAGAGGAGACTGAGGAATTCTCTAATAAAAGCCAAGGAAGGCTCACGTTTCAGAAGTTAAAAGCATAATGTTGGAGAATATTGAAACCTCTTATGTGTTTCTGCACACCTTTAGAGAGCCAATCATTCTTCTTTACCCATTTAAATCTTTTTGAGTATGATGGATCTGCCAGAAAAAGAAGAAGCAATTGCTAGTTTACTCTCTGAAACATCCACTATAATATAAGTTTATCTGAACCATTACAGAGCTGTGGTACCAGAACATGAAGATAAAACTGGTGGTGGTTCTTGCTACTGTCTTTAACATCTGCTGCTGCTGGCTCCTCTTTTGATATTGATCACAGAAATTTCTCATCACTGCCCAATATAGTGAAAGCACAGTGAATAATAACTTTGGTGTAAACCAATTGGTGAAATAGACATAGCTTATTTAACACTCAGCTGAGACAAGAAAGCCATAGAAAAGAGAATAAATCTGATACAAGTCTATGAGAAGAGATATAGCAACCACAAAATCATTTAAGAAAGAAAGAAAGAAGAGGAAACAACAACAGTCTATCCCAAGTGGTAAGTATATCAAAAACTAGGTAATCCTTTTTTTCTGTATAAATTAAATCCAAGTAGAATTATACAAAACGTGAGCTCATGACACGTATGCAGAACTAATGACACCACTGAGACACGTGTTCACACAAAAAAGCTATTATTCGTCAAGGACAAAACCAGAAACAAGATGGTTTCAAACAAACAACAATGATAGCTGCGACGTTGCATGTCCCCAACTCCCATCTTTTTCTGAAGGCAATCCTCTTTCTTCTTCATGATGGAAGCAATGTCTCTAGAGAGGTCTTGAATATAAGATGAGTGAAAATATGAGTGGTGGGTGAAAGGGCTTGAGCCGTCTTCTCACAGTTTCATTTTAACAATGGACATATCAACCAATTTTACTTTCACATTCTCTTAACTTCTTCAACCTTTACGTCTCTAGTTTTTCTCTTTGAACAGTTACCTCTTGGATCAACTCAAGCCCTCTCGAGTTCTAGTTTGTTTGCAATGCATGCAACATTCCAACTCCCCCTTTCTGGCCAACAAGAAGTCTCCTCGTTCTCATGAATTCTTCACGCTCTCCGTGTAACAGCTCCACATCAGTTTGCATACTCATACATATTTGCAGTTTGCAAGAGAATAAAAGGGAATTAGGACGGACACATGCATGACTCTAAAAATTGACAACATGTTAGCTAAGCTGAACATATAGCTTTTTTATTGTTATTTTGGTTCTAGAAAACAAAACAATCACATATTAAACTGCATAGTAGCTAACTGAGTTTTAAATGGTATAACAACAAATCGAATTCATTAGATTCGGTTAACTCTCTTTTTAAGCCAGAAAGAGCAGAACGTCCAGGTGTATATTCACAATCCGTAGACCAAGTGTCAAGACTGTCCCAATGGGTTCCTCTCTTTGCATACTTTGAACCATCCTATGCTTCTTTATCTGAAGCAAGCGAACGTTGCAGTCGTTTCTGCTTCTGTTTATGCAAAAACAAAACAAAAAGAAACACAAACCAAGATATTTTGTTTTGTTAGTCCACGACACAGTGATTGTCTACGAATCCATGGTGTTTTTTTTTTATTGCTAAGACACATACTCGAAGTTCACGCTTTTCCTCCTCTTTTTGAGCACGCAAATTAGTGTCTTCTTCCAGCATTTCTAACAGCGGGTGCTGGAATTCAAAAGACACTAATCATATAACCTGAATCAAGCCAAGATAATTGAGTAAAATGTACCGTTAGTTACCTTATCATATAAGAAGCGGACTCCTCTTTCGAGTTCCCAGGCCTTCACTTTTGTGGTTAAACCATCAATAATCGCTTAGAACGTAAATACAAGTGGGTTAATATCATCTTAAGACCCATGAGTTTAAGAATGAGTAAGCATCCTAGATAGTCTAAAAACAATACATGATTTGGATCAATCATTGTTACCACTACGTTCATACTCTATTGCAAACTGAAGACTTACTTGCATTAACGAATTAGGTGCAGTTAAAAAACACTCACCAGGAATTTTGCTGATACGTCTCCTAGCGTCCTCTGCGTGTTTTAAATGTGTGTGTCCTCCTTTTACAGGAGTGAAGCGCTTTTCATCCTGTTCAGGCAACCAAATAGAAGAGACAATCAATATGTCATACATATACTAAGCTAGTATGTAGGAAGTTCACAAAAAAAAAAACTTAGATACGCTCTTTATCATTAAAACTATTTAAAACAAAACTCTGGAGAATTGGTACTCTCTGATAGTTGCAGGCTGCAGTTAACCTTAAGACTATAGAACTCTATATTTTCATCAGATAAATGCTGAAAATCAGATCTTCTCTTGACCTATCTTGGTATAAGAGAACTTTAAAACATAATCTCGTATATACCTTTTCATAATCATCAAGCCATCTTTCTTCCTTCTTTGCGTTCGTCCACTTATCAACTTTGTCTAAAATCTCCTTTCTGGTTAAAGCTTCCTCTTTTGCCTTCTCGATCTGACTATCTATGCTTGCAAGAATATGCGACAGGTCACCACTACCTGCAAAGCAAAACTTCGTTACTGCACACCCAATGGAAGATAGCTTCTTGAACCATAAGTTAACTCGATCACTAGCAAAATGTAAAACCATAGCCATCTTATTTTCACATTAACTTCTGCTAAGTTGTGTATCATTGGGGCAATCTTAAAACAGGAAAAACAGGACATGTAAATGAACATGCTTAACATCAGTGAAGGTAAGAGCCAAAATTGGAAACGTTATGAAGGCGAACAAGCATTATACCTTCGGAAAGTAAAAGCGCAAAATGCACTCCAAAACTAAAGTACTTAATCAATTACTCGTCCTACGCAAGAAGACTTTGTATGGTACCAGAATCTATGAGGTCAACAAGACTCTGTCTTGCAGCATCGCTATTGACATCCATATGACCCTTTCTGCATACTTCTTCTAGTTCACACCGCCTCTTCAGCACCAGTTCCTTCATTTTGCTGGACTTCTCATTCAGTATTTCAACTTCATGTTCAGCCTAGGGTAAGATACTTGCAGAGTCAGACAAATCAGAATAGTCACAGAGGAATATGATATGTAATACAAAATATGATGGCATTACCTCCCGGAAAATATTGAGACCAAGGCATCCTTTTCGTAAGGCATCATCAGCTTGGACAGGTAGTAAGCACGTTATATGTTTAAATCTCCTCCTCTCATCCATAGGTGTTTCCATTCGATTCCACAGGTCTTGCATGGTTCTTCCCAAATCTTGTAGCTGAAATATATAAGAATCTCAAGGTATCAATTTGTAAAACGTATATGGTTTGCTTTCATGGATTTCTCACTTCATTTTATGTGAAAAGGAGATAGCAGGTTAAATTAGAGGCTATCAACTACAAAAGTGCAGCTCCTAATTTGAATGCTATCATGGAAACTCATATATGCATACAAACAAAGTCACCTTAAGCAGCTTCTGATGTTTCTCATTCTTCAGAGACTCTGTAAGTTTTGCTAATCCAGCAAGAGTATCATCACTAATGCTTTTTGCATCAGCCATTGAAAAGTCGGTCAGGCTTTTATGCACATTGCTCAAGGCATCCGAGACATCAGATGACATTGTCTCTGACATGTCACGGATAGCACTGATATAAGAGTTTACTTTCTGCAGACGATCATCCTGAGAAAGGATGATAAGCACATGAGAACAAAATCTTTAAAACAAATACTCAACTGTGATTTAAAAAAAAAATATATATAAGAACACCTTTTCCTTGCATAGATCCTGCAGGCGTGCTCTAAGTTGATCCAACTTTCTTTCTGTTAAGTCGCTTTCATCAAAGTCTGGACCATTGCGTCCATGATAATCACTCCCCGCTATGTTGGAAGAGATGTCAGTTATCTGTGTCAGAATCTCGGAGATTTGTTCCCATCTTAGAACCTTTTTCATCCGCAGATCGTCCAGAACAGGCTGTACAGTGGACATCTGCTGTTTCAAAGAGCCTTCTTTCTTCTTCTCAAACAGTAACATATAACAAACATAAGAAAGAAGAAAGAAATGTGTGTTGATATATTTACGAGGCAACACATGTTGTGTAAGCATACCCATGAATAGGTAACTTGTTCACCAAGCGAAGACGTAAGGCTGACAATTTCATCATAAGCTCGAGCTAGTGATCCTTGTAAGTCAGCTTTGTACTTGGTAGTTTCGTCAATCTTTTTATCGTATACAGCCAGACATTCCTGCTCAATAACTTCCAGTACCTTGTCTATTTCATTGTAACTTTCACCAATTTCATCCCACAATTTCTACAATCAGATAATGTTCTTGATCAAGAATATGCCCGGATTGATTTTACCGCAAGTAAGAAGCAGCATACATACATAAGCTCAATTCAACAAAACAAGAAATGCACCAGTCACCAGTATCTTGATTCCAACCCCCGATTATTGATCAAAGAAGTTTCGATTCAAAGAAGAACTAACAAAACAGAAGCAAGAGGCGAAAAGAATCCAAAAAGACTGTGGCCATAAGCATGAAGCCTAGAAAAAAAAGAAACTGATGTTCAATTGTGTAAACGAATAAAGCTACAGAGAAAAGCAGGAACCTGCAACTTTTGAAGTGGGGTAGGTGGGGTAGGGATTGACAAACGATGCATTTTCTCCCGCCGCCGGTGGCGACTAGCAAAGCTGACGGTGATCGGAAACCTAGTAACCTGAGGATCCCGAGAGAGAGAGAGAGAGAGAGAGACTACTGGCGATTATGGATATAATGTTTTCCCTCAAAATTAGTTACTTTCTTTCCACGTGTGCGCCTCTCAAATTCGCGCCAAAATGTTTTCAGTCTTTTTAAAGAAAATAGCAGTTTATTGTTATTTATTTATTTCGCTTTTTCGAGTGATTAAGTGGTAATAATCCGCGCTAGATTATTAATCTCATTATTCTTAATATAAGAAGATAGTATGTCTATTTAATTTGTATGTGGGTTCGGTTTTAGGTTATTATTTTGGCTTTAAGTCTATTAAAATATAATTACTATTCTCAATCAATATTTATTCGGTTAAAATGTTTGAAATTTTTGAATTTTTCAATGATAATCAAAAACTATTATTATTTGTTTGGTGTAATGTTATATGAATTTTAGACAGTTCTGTTGCAAACCAATGGTTTCATATTATAATTTCTAAAGGCATGAAAAATCAAATAAAGTTAGATAATAAATAAAGAAAAAGAAAAAAAGTTTAAGATAAATCATTTAATTACAATTTGGTCTTTCTATAGTGAATAGAAACATTAAAATAAAAATTCAGTTTCCAAGAGAATGAAAATCCTTACTTGTAATGAATATTTAGGAGAATAGCTAAAAACTTCAACTATTTAGAAAACTGGAAGATCACTTGACAAATACGTACAACTTACAAGTCCTCTCTCCCTTCTAAATCTTTCAAGAGCGAGAGTCAAGTTTATCATGATTTTTTTTGTTCTTTGATTCTGATTCTCCATCAACTTTAGTGGATGTAGCTTCGCCACTGACTGTTACAAACTGCGAAAATAAACAAATGTTCGTTTTTTTTATGAAAGGATACAACTTTATAATGAGAAGACACAATTCGTTAAACTAACAAAAACACTTATTCAGATATTATAATTATTTTTTAAAAATATTTTTAATAATTGCATACTGAAAAATCAAAATTAATCTCAGTTTTTTTTAAAACACACAATCTGTCAACACTAAATGAGATATGGTAGTTTTTCTGAGTAATAGAATTTTTAATAATATTCTATATTTGAAATATTAGATATATTAATATTTGATTTTTTATACACATTATTTTATTTGCATACTAGGTTAATACCCGCGTATTTTCGCAAAAAGAGAATTATATATATAAATTATTTATGTCTTATTCTTTATTTTGTGTTCTTTTATATATTATAAAACAATAAATATATATATTAAATAATTGAAACATCTGTAATTATTATATGTACAATTAATTTAGTTAGCATTTAAATAAAATAATCATATTTTTTTATTTACAATCACTTTATATAAGTAAATTTAATTAATAAATGATATTAACATATATATATATATACGTTTATATAGACCAACATTTATGCTTAGTTTAATAAAAAAATATTAGACGTTTATGCTTAGTTTTAAAAAAAAAGTATTATACGTTTATATGGACCAACATTTTTCTCTAGTAAATTCGAGAAGCATTCTCATGATGACACGTGGCTACCAAGAGATGTTATAATGCTTCTCAATTAATATATAGGAGATTTCTATTTATATAAATGTCTAGACAATCTAAATAAATTATATATTTATCAGTGGCTATATTTTACAGGAATAAGCGACTGAATATATTTTTTCAGTTTATTTAATGTTATAATAAACACATGTTTCCATACTTTTTTGAATAAATTATTCACATGTAATATTATTTACAAATGCATTTAAGTAGATGCAATTTATGTTATAAAAGCTGGTATATTAATTTTTGAAAATGAGTTTGTATTTACAAAATTGCATGTATGTGTCTTTGAAGACATGATTAATGTCATATATTTTCATACCTTTCTATTTTGTAAGAAAATTTCATCTTGACATATTAATTAATATATTTCATTGTATTCGGTGAAATTTACTAGCATGTAAATAAATATATTACGATATAAATGAAATAGGTCATGTGAACATAAGTCAATATATATTTATTATGATATTCAATTTAGTTGATATTATTTCTTGTGAAATAGAGTTTGTAAATAGGAAAATATTAATTTTTGTCAATAGGAAAATAGTAATCCACGAAAGACATTGTAAAGTTTTATACAAAAAGTTTATTATTATAAAATAGAATTTATTTGATTTTATAAAATGAGTTTCCGTGTGATATCGCACGGGTTCTTTACATAGTTTTTATAAGAAGACAACAAAATTGAATATATTTTTATAAGAGAACAAAAACCTCACATTAAAGTGAAAGGCCACTCTCTCGTATGTGACCAACTTAAAACACACACACAAATAATGATGTATACATAATCTTGTGAGTAAGAAAGAGAGAATTAGGAAAAATCAAACTAAATACTTAGAAACTAATAAAAAAATCACCAAGTTGTGTACCCTTAGATTTACAAAGTCAAAAAGTATTATTAGAGAGTACATATAAAACAAAAGCTTTTTCTTCTACTTAAATTTACCGAGAATAGAGAAGAAGATCATCAAGCCTGCAGCTATCTGAACAACCCTTCTACTACCCACTCTTGTCAAGGCTACTAGTCCAGCATTTTCTCTGCACAAACAGAATAAAGAATTACAGCTTAAAACCCGAAATATCGAGAGTAATTAAACAAATCAGAACATGTATCATCTCAGAGATGCTTACATAGAGACAGAGGATCCAGCACCAGTACCAAACAAGCCTGATATCAGAATAGCCACACCCTGATCCACAAAACAAAACATACTCAGCTCAGAAGCTAGTGAATGTATATATTATTTGCAACATTATAGTCTCTTAAGTGTGGCAAAGTTAGGAATACTAGTTTCTACACCCAGTTACAATACTATTTGGAAAATAGAATATAAAATAATTAAACAAAAAAACCCTTAAAAACCTTTTGTTTTGTTGGATAAGGAATGCAAATTAAACTAAATATTTTAATATATTGCAGTTATATCTTTATATATATATCTTTATATATATCTTTATATATATATATTGAGTATTATTGTGCTGCTTCAAAGCTTAGGGTTTGGCAGACGTACGTAATAATGATGAAGAGAGGAAGCCAATATTATCCAATAACGAGGTCCTCAGGTTCCTTTGTGAGCAGATTACTATCCTTTTTAAAAGCAGTATATGCATTCTTGATCGCATGGGCGACACAACGTCTTCATCCCACTGAACAAAGTCCAAGCGTCAGCGTCAATAATATACCTTTGGATCTAGTGGTTGAGATTCTTAAAAAACTTCCTGCAAAGTCTCTCGTCAGGTTCCGATGCGTCTCGAAGGAATGGTCATCAATTATCAGCAGCCGCAGAGACTTCCTTGACGCAATCGTGGCACGTCCTTTGGCTCAGCCGCAGCGTATGCACTTCATCTTCCATTACAACTGTACGAGACAACCATTCTTCATCTTCAGGTCAGTTAACCATAAGATGGCTGATAACCAATCAATATTCATCCCTGAACTAACGAGGTCCTACATTTATCAATACGTCCGTGGTTTGTTTCTTTGTTGGTCATATGGATGTTTTAAGATATTTATATATAATCCTACCACGAGGCAGGCCCTTTGGTTGCCGGACCAGGATTATTTTATGTTCAAACACCATTACACTTACTTCTTTGGATACGACCCTCTCCAGAATCAATACAAAATTTTAGGCCTACCCAAATATTATATGAGGAATGCTTGTATAGCTTTCACATTGACAGTTCCAACTACTACCAAAAACTGGAGATACATAGAATCCATTGGACTTGAACATCACTATCCAATACGACCTTCTATTTGCATCAACGGGGTTATCTATTACCAAGGACGCACTACAGAATATGGTTGGAGATGTGTATTGATGAGTTTTGATATTAGGCATGAGAAGTTTGATCAGGTCAATGCTCCTACAGACTACCATTCGAGTCTGTTAAACTACCAAGGCAAGTTAGGGCTCATGTGTTGCTATAAGGGCGTGGAAATTTGGGTTATGGAGCATACTAAAGAGAAGACACAAGAATGGTCCAAGATTTTCTTTTACAAGGAGATGGTAAGTTTCGAAGATTGGTTCAGCAAGGGTGTTACACGAGGAGGTGAGATTGTTTTTGTCTATAACCGGTCCGGACATAACAATCGTGGTGACGCCCTATGCGTCTCATATTACGATCCAGTGCGAAACAGCATGAGATATGAAGACATTGAAAGTATTAGTAAGAAGAAACTAAAGCCTGAAGATATTATATTTAAATGTGCGGTCATTGATCATGTCGAGAATACAATGCGTTTGTTTTAGTTACAATGCTGGTTTTTTTTGGTCGTGATGTTGGTTTTATTATATTTTCTTTTCAAAAACAAATTTAGCATAAGGTAAAGATAAATGTCATAACTTGTTTATACTTTGAATCTATTAACCATTTTGTTATTATTTACTCTAAGTATAGATTTGGGTGCCTATGACGACCAATGGTAACTATCTCAGCCATGAACTCACGCATCCCTTGGCTTGTGGTGAGGTAACTCTTATAAATATATTCAATTTCTTTAAACAAACTATGTTCAGTTTTTGTAAAATCAATGAATTATCTAGCTAATCGTTTTAAGTAGAAAGAGATGCAAAATGAAACAAAAGACTTTAAAACTAATCAAAATCACATAATTCGTGTACCCTTAGATTTACAAAGTCCAAAAGCATTAATCAGATAGTAAACAACAATGCTCTTAAAGGTTCATGATCATTAATCTTGTAAATAAAGACTATAGAATGTGAGAGATATCTTTTATAAAGTTTTGTGAAAGGAAACAGAACAAAAGAACTCAACTATGAGTAAACTCTCTGCTCATCTCTCTATCTCTCTCCACCGTTTTTAGACAGAAGGGAAGTACTTGTTGAGATTGAAAGGAAGAGAGTAGAACTCTTCACTTCTCGTGTCACCTTTGAAAGATCTAAACTTATCCCACCAATGCTTTCCTCTGTCTTTCCTTATCGATGAATCTTTCTTGTGCAATGTGTTGTCCAAGAAGAAAGCCACCACGCCAGCAACAAAAGGTTCTGATGAGAACGGGACATTCACCATATCGTTGAACTGTCAAGCATGTAACAGAACAAGAGTTTCATTACAATAGCTTAAGCCAAAGAATCAGTGAGTTTGGTTACTACTACATACCCAACGAGCTCCTGTGTGGACAGGACCATAGCCTTTGATTGCAGTGTACTCATTGAAGTATTGAGGGATAGACAAGCCGAGAAAGACAGAGAAGCCTAAGATGAACTTAGTCCTGAAGCTGTTTAAGTTGCAGAACTGAAGAAAACTCAGACCTCCAGCTCCTACGTATGCAAAGAAGAGACAGTACAAAGCAGCTATTATAGGTGCAGGGATTGACGCAAACACAGCTCCAAATTTTCCTGCATTAACATGATACATCATTAGTACATATAAATCTTCAAACAAAAGCTTTTTTCTTCTACTTAAATTTACCGAGAATGGAGAAGAAGATCATGAAGCCTGCAGCTATCTGAACAACCCTTCTACTACCAACTCTTGTCAAAGCTAATAGTCCAGCATTTTCTCTGCACAAACAGAATAAAGAATTACAGCTTAAAACCCGAAATATCCAGAGTAATTAAACAAATCAGAACATGTATCATCTCAGAGATGCTTACATAGAGACAGAGGATCCAGCACCAGTACCAAACAACCCTGATATCAGAATAGCCACTCCCTGACCCACAAAACAAAACATACTCAGCTCCAAAGCTAGTGAATGTATATATTATTTGGAACATTATAGTCTCTTAAGTGTGGCAAAGTTACCTGCCAGCCAACACCACGGCTGAGAATAGAAGGTGGCAACATTGTTGCACTTGCATATCTTGAGACGGCTATAAATCCACCAGTTGACTTCAATGATCAGCCAGACAAGAAGGAAAATAATGAGTAACCAAAGTAACAGAGCATAATCAATTTATTTCGAAAGATTTAAAATGTGACATATACCTCAACTAGAGCAACAAAAGAAGCCATCATCATAGCAAAAGCTTCTCCAGCATCAAACGAAGGTGCACCCCACTGGAAAGGCCATGGAACTCTTATCCTGTAATAAGAAAAAGAAAACTATTTAATCACATTTTATCTCTTCATACTCTGAATTTTCATGCTATTTTGGGAGCTGCTGCTACATATACACAGCTGAGTTGTAGCCACTTACCATGGAGCAGCACCTATGATGCCAGCACGATCAGTCCTGCAACTTGTTTGTGTAGTTGGTGCAGCACCGTTGTATGCCCCACCAACTGTAAGAAGGAGAGCATAGATCCATACAACCACCACAGCGAATATTACAGCAAACCGGTCAAATACATTCTTCCCTGATTTGATCACATGAGGCAGGTACTGCAACAGTAAACATGAAATCAGGTATCCATACCATAAACACAATAATCTAAACGTTACTTTGGAGTTAAGAGAGATTTATTGTCTTGGCTAGTTAAAATCATTACCTGTGAAACCAATACTAGAATAAGAAGCTCAGGCAGCCCAATCTCTATGCACTTAGCAACCTGAAATGTAAAAGGGAACTTAACAACTAAACCCAAAATGTGTGTTTTTGGTCTTATTGTTTGTATTGTTTGGTATATAGTGTTGCAGTTGCATCTAGAGAGTAGACTTACCCCTGGGAAGCCAAACTCGTATAGCCCAAAACCAACGAGACCTATCAGAGGAACAGCTGAGATAGGACTTAAGAACCTGAAAATGAAACACAATATCTAATGTCATGTAAGGAAGGCAAATGTTTGAGACTATTTTCCTCCTCCAAACTAACCTGACAACGTTACGCCAGAGACCACTGAAACCAAGAATCATCTGCAGGGTTGAAGCAACAATCAAGGCTCCTTGAGTTGCTCTCATAATCCTCTCAAACCGCTGCAAAAGAATTCAGATACGATTAATTATTGTCAATAAAAGCACCAAGAAAGAGTCATATAAGAAGCAAAATACACATGAAAATCACCATACATCTATAGGGTTGGAGGTATCACTGAATCTTCCTGAGAGGATGATGGATATTGTGGTTGGCACAAAGGTGTAAGACGCCCCAATAACAGCTGGCAATCTTGTCCCAAACGTTGTTTGGAGCAATGTGTTGATGCCGGCAACAAAGAGAATAGTCTGCACCACCTTTGCCTTCTCTTCCTGAAAATCAAAACAAGATCATCTCAGTCACTAGACACCATTCTATATAAGTTTATAAACTCATTGAAGAAGACTTACATATCCACCACCCATCTGGGGAACAAGAGCAGTAGGTATGAGAACTGTTGTGCCAAGCATGACAAGGTAATGTTGAAACCCAAGAAGAATAGCTTCAGCTGAAACACAAAGTATAAAGAGATACTTAAGTCTTTAACTGATGTTAACTATAGTAACATGAAACAAAGCTTTATATTCATTTTAAGAAGAGTCTCATCCAAGACAGAGAAACAGACAAAAAAACAACAAAACCTTGCCACAGATGCAACAAATCAGGTAACACTTCTAACATTAGTCCAAAGTGATGTTAACTCTAGTAAACATGTAACAAAGCTTTATGTTCATTTCAAGAAGAATCTCATCCACAGAGTAACAAGACAAAACCTTTCCACAGATCCAACAAATCAGGCAAACAGTTCCAACATTAGTAAAACAATGGATGTTAACTGTAAGTAACATGAAACTATTTCAAGATGAATCTCATCCACAGAGACAAAGCAACAAGACAAAAAGCACAAATCTTGACACAGATTCAACAAATCAGACAACAATCTCGTGATTAAAGCAAAACTAGGAAACTAAATCTTGTTAAGACAACTACACATACACCAACAGATGAAGCCAAACTAAAAAAGGAAAGAACTTTCAAACTGGGAATCTAGAAGAAGACAGAAAAGGAAAGAACTTTCGAACTTGGAAGCTAGAGGAAGAGAGAAAAAAAGGAAAGAGCTTTTAAGGAACTAACGCCAAGGAGGAGGACTAGTGATGCAGTAAGAGATGTTGGGAAGCTGATCTTTAGGAGGATGTGGTTGTGGTTCATCTGCTTTAGGTGCTGGAGCTCCACCTCCCGCCATGGTCTCTCTCTATCTCTGCAAAAACAACATCAAACACAGTAAGAACAAGTTTCCAGAGTAAAGCTACCAGATCGAGGAATCTACCAGATAGAACAGAGCTGTAGTGTCTAGGTAAAGCTCAAAGCTTTTGATAAAATGGGAGAGAAGAGAGAAGATGGTAACTCACAGAAGTGGCAGCAGCTTCTGGGAAGAAGAGGAGAGGAAAACGAGTAACAACAGTGTGTGATGTTTAGGTACAAAAGGTAAAGCAACACTCACATAGAGAGAGCTTTAATTTACTCGAGGTTAAAATAAGTTAAAATATTTGAGTCAAAAATTTAATGTTTGAATCTTGTTGTTAGCAATGAATGAACCTTGTGTAATTATTACAACTCTAATTAATATGTTGTTGTTTTATTTTCTACTGGATAATTAAACCTTTTATTTCTAAATTTACCAACTTTTATGAAAGAGCTTTAATAGTAACAGTTAATAAAAAAAAGTTTTATAGATCTGTAACTATAAAAACACTAGAAATATTGATTTGGAAAAAAAAAAATACATTATAAATACTGTCTTGAATGAACACCTTGTGTAATTTTTAGAATTCTAATTAATATGAACTCAGTATAGTTTTTTTTTTGTTTTGTTCAAGAACTCAGTATAGTTATGTTTTATTTTCTACTGGATAATTAAACCTGTATTCCTAAATTTACCAACTTATAGAAATGTGCTTTAATAGTAACAGTTAATATAAAAAAAGTTGATAGATCTACATTAGAAATATTAATGTGAAAATAAATACATTAGAAATACTGTTTTAAGAGATCATGGAGTTTGAACAGGAACAATGAATCAGTAAGAAACAATGGTGCTGATAATTGCGCCGAATTTGTGATTTTAGTTAATAGATTAATGTGTAATTTTGAAAGGTTTGAGAGGGAGTGATATAGATTGATTGGTTGATTAATAAATGTATTAGTACTAAAGATGGAGAAAGATGAAAGGGATGTGAAGAACAAAAGGAAGAGACGAGAGGAATCTTTTTATCTTTAAAGTGTGCATATTTTAAGAAAGTTTTACTAATTAAAGTTGTTAAGTTATAGCCTATCTTATCTCTAGATGCTTCAAGATATTGTCAAATTGTAGCTAAAACTTTTAATAATTCAATAATTCTTGCATCATCTATAAACAGATGACTAGTTAAATTG